GAAAAACGACCTTCTTAAAGTACTACCCCACGCCGATTTTCTTTCAAAAAAGGTGCTACACGTAGAAATCCGAGTAAGAATCTTCTGGTAGAAAAATACGTTTAAATTATTATCTTTTCAGTAACAAAAATAATAGATGATTTAATTTAACTCAACCCACCCCCCCTCCCCTAACGAAAATTTTGTTCATCTACGGTCCAGTCTAACCTAACCCTTTTTTTTTTCTACGGTACCGACAATACCCCCGTCACCCGGAACTTATCCCGTGGGCAATACTACAGGTGACGGGTCGCCATCGTTTATTTGAATAAATACAACGAACAACTTTAAGCGGATTACAATGAAATAAAAGAGTCATTTCTGATTACCTACAACATTTCGCAATATACAAACGTATACATTTACAATTGTATAATCATCTTCGCGGGTCGGCTATACCCGCCACCCTGGACGTCACGTTCTCGTCCGATGCTTCTTGGACCGACGATATCCGCCGCCCTGGTAGCCTCGTGCCAACCCTGGGTTCCCCTCCTGGCTGATGCTTCTGTTGCTAGTCTAACCTTGTCTATTGTAACGCATTTATATTATGTTTTCAGGTGGTTTACATTACCATTGACGTGTGTTCTTTCGTGGCGTATTACGAGTACGTTTTACTGTTGACGTGCTCCCAGTGCATAATATACGAAATAAACCAAACTATATTCAAACAGGGTACGTCGATAAGTAAGTTACGAGACCTGTACATGACTGTGGTGGATTGCATAGAAGACATGAACACGTCTGTGTACGGGATGCCGGTGTTGGTTAATCTCGTCGTCGGCAACATGGCGCACATATCTTTTGACTTTTTTTATTTCATACTTTTCGGGAGCGAATTCGAACGAAGAAAACACAATTACTACTTCCTCGCGGGACACGTTTTATCGAGAATGTTTGCCACCTTCGTACTTTATTGGGTGTTTTACACGACCGAAAGAGAGGTTCGTTTATAATTCACGAATATGTACGATTCTTTAAATTATGATCAATTGATTTTCTCGGTGAGTTTTAAGAAAATTCAATTACCATTTTCTTCAATCATTATGGGGTCGTCTCTGGAATCTTTACTTTAACACGATTTTCAAATGTTTACCCCTAACTACTGCGACCTATACTCTTGGTACTTACCTTAAGCGAGTATTCGATTTTAATTTACAAATGTCAACCGTCCAATTTTCAACAGTTTTGAAAAAATAATTTTTTCCTTAAAACTTTAATATGCACATATATAACATTAATGTCTATTATGGAATTTACCGTGTAGGAGTATTATAAATATTTGAATTTAACCGAGGTACCTAGTAGGGTAAAATAGTTAATAATTAGTCATTGTAATGATAATGTATCATAATAGATAAAGAATCATCTTGTTCTGTAATAGGTTTGGCCAAAAAAGGTTGAAAAAAAAAATGTATTTTTCTATACGTGCAACGAAAAACATTTGCCGAAACTAAACGTCTTTAAGAGAAAACACTACGTCATGAATAATACGATGTAGGGACATTGGCCATAGGGATTATTTAAAAAAAAAAAAACAAGTTTCAAGGAGTATGAGTAGGATCCCTGCGAGGCTGTGTCGGAACTATACTGACGCCTTTTTAGCCACCACACGCCAGTCTCCTTAATCTGAATACAAGATTAATCTAATTAAAAATGAACGGTCTATTCCAAAAATATTAAAAAGAGTCTGTTGGTCTAACGAGTTCCTGTCATTAATCAAAACCAGTTTATTTATTTTTTTGAAATATACGGGATTGACTCAATTCAAATATAGTACATTAACAAATTATTTGATTAAAAATAAAAATTCAAAAGACAATAAACATAGTAAAAAAAAAAAAAAACCAAATAAGGAATGATAGGTGCTCGATGGCCAGTTTCATCATCCCAAACAAATATACAGGATTATTTTTCAATTAAATTTAAATTGAATAAAAAAATATAAACACAAGTAATATAAATTGAATAATTTTATAATAATACACAATTAATAAATTCTGTCTGGCAGATAAAACGAACAGTATTGGTGTTGAACCAACGGATCGTACGAGAAACAGACCCGAAAGTCCATCGACAGGTAGGTTCCTGGACGGTTCAAATAAAAAATAATAAACAATTATACGATATTGGTTTGTTTCTTTTTTTAGATAGCATATTTTTTATTGGGCAGAGTGCACGCCGATTTCAATTTTAAGTTGTGCGGATTTTACGAAATAAATTCCAAACAATTACTCGCCTCGATCACCAAAGCGATTGCGTTTATGATCATACAATATCAGTTCAAGATCAACGTTCTCTCTTAAAAAGAATGAGAAATATTCGTTACAAGTATTATCAATCATATTATTGATTGCTTTTGCCATTTATATTGGTTATTAAAATTGCCTGGACTCATCAAAAGCGGCCGACTGATAAATAAAAACTTCCTATACATGTGATTAACTGATTATTATTAAATGTACGTTGTATTTTTATGTAAGAAAAAAAGACGTCCGGAGAATACCGGGGACGGGTGCATAGTTCTACACAGTTTCTAATAACGGTTGAGAAATAATTTGTTTACAATACAATACTCATATCGACAAGAAAAGTTCAATAGGTACCTGTTAGTTGTATGCCCGTCACGATTGACGGGTTATAGTGGTTATTGAAATGTTTAAAACTATTAGTGTTAAGTCCAAACGCTGCAAAACTTTATGGTGAAAACTTATTTGCATATTTGAATACGCCCCCTCCCCCCCCCACCGAAAATACGCCACAATTATTCATAACATTATATTAGCCGGTACACACAATACACGTATTAAATAGGTATTCCGACTAGAAAAAACTATATTAACAACTTACCAATATCCCATATAATAGCTTCTTCTTTTGAAACTTCATTGATAAAATATTCGTGATCTATTTTGATGTAACAGTTTTTCAACGAATACTCGACTTGTTCCTTCTAGCTACTTTCACAGTTCGAGCTCTATTAGAGCTTTGCGAAATAATAGACTTACGCTTTCTTCCGTTCAATATTTTTTGGGCGAAAGAGTAACAAAAGCATCCATAATAACATCCAAAATATATAATCAGTATAAGATGTATTATATTAAATATAATAAAATGTTTAAATTTACGTTTGTTTATTTTTTATTTTAAGTTTTTATTCATATCATCCGTGTTACTATGGTTATCCATAATTCAACAAAAATAATTTAATTTTCGTCCCGAAAATTCATAAAATCCTTTCATCTCCTTCAAGTTTTATTTTCGCGACAAAAAGTAGTCTGTTTTTCTCCAAGGTCACATCTATATCTCTATAGCAAAACAGATCAAAATCCATTCAGTAGTTTTTACGTGAAAGAATAAAAAACTTCCATGCATCCAAACAAACTTCACATTTATAATATTACTAGGATTAACATACATATTGATTGAAACCTGATTTTTTTTTATTCCAAAGACATTATAGACACTTTTCTCTATAAATATTTGTTCAAGTACTCAAATATTAGTTTTTTTTTTTTTTTATCAAAACCAATATTGGTTATTGCTTTATGTAATGGCCAACCCTAAATAATAATATAGGAAATGACTAAATTATTTTGTATAGATAAAACGGACGACACTGGTGTTGAACCAAGAAATCATACTAGAAACTGATCCGAGAATCCATTAACAAGTATATATTGATGATTAAAAATAAAAATAATAAAGAATAATTTGTAGATATTAATTTATTTCTTTAGATAGCATATTTCTTATTGGGCAGAGTGCACGCCGATTTCAATTTTACGTTGTGAGGATTTTTCGAAATTAATTTCAAACAATTACTCGCTTCAATCGTCAATTCAATTGCTTTTATGGTTATACAATATCAGTTCAAGGCCAATTTTATAGATTTTCATAAGAATTGAAAAATTTTGTTTACATTATAATACTCACATCAATAAAATAATATGATCAAGTGTTAATTGCCAATAAAATTGAATGTTACAATTGCTTTGAGTTACTATCAGAAGCCGCTAACTGATAAATAGATAATTTGTTTATGTGTAATTATTATAAAAATGTGACATATTTAAAAAAGAAAAAGCTGCTGTGACAATTATTTTAAGGCATACCACGCGTATATATTTATTTTTTTGATCCCAACAAAATAGCATATTATCAAAACTAAATATTTGATGTAAGTTCCAAAAAGTATAAAGTATTAAAATTATTGTTAGAAAATTATCCACAGTCAGAAATGGATATTTCATACTAAAATCTCTATTCTTAATTAAATTTTACAAAATCAAATATTTGTTTTAATACATTTTTTTAATTTCAGTATAACTCTTGTGCTTGACACACCATTAAAATCTCGAAAGGATAACATTTCTTATACAGGTAGTATAATATAACATACAATTAAACTGGATTTTATATTTATTATTATATTTATAGTATAATATTAAAAAACTAGCCAACAAATAAAGTAAACATCAAATTAGGAAAATAAAATTATATGATCGATAATGACTTAAAATTATTTATGGAACAAAAATCAAATAAATACAATTTTTCTAACTACAAAATAAAAGGAAAAACCACGTACACACATAAGTTAAATATTTAACCACAGAAATAAAATATATATATATATATATTATATAATATAATTTATAACTAATAATATGTATAAGTTGTCACATAAAAATGTGTCCACTGGTGAATAATAGTATTATTTTAAGCTATAGAGAACGATGGTCAGAAAGGATTGACTAGGATGACCTTTTCAAAATATTAAGAATATTAATTATTAGACATTACACATACTGGTTCTACCGCGTTCATAATATTAACACTAGACAATAAAATTATGATTATTATTATTGGGAGGAAAATATAGACACTGGTAATCTATCTAATAGATAAATACAAACGGCCCAATTCGACGACATTTATCAGGCCATTGAGTTGCAGACGAATCATACGAAAAATTCATTCTTGTTGCTCAGTTCGTACTCTATCTCCTCGTTCTTGTACATCTCCAAAAGCTAAAACGTATAGATCGAATATCTAGTATTATATGAAAAAACAACAATAAGTTGAGTTTACACGAGTTTATATAAATACATACATTATTTATTTCCTTGATCAACTCTTGTTTTTGCTTTTCGTGCTTTGCCTGCAACTTGTCCTTGTCTTTAGCTTGCTTGATCTGTAAACAAGAGTTTAGTATTTATATTGTAATTTATGTAAATTTATATTGTAATAAAAAAGTAATTGGAATATACAATACTATATTATTTTATTTTACAAATTGAATAGAATTTACCTGAGCGTGTTTTCTTTCGTCCATAAATTTCTTTGTGTTGTTTTGTTTCTTTTCTCTCAGTCGTCTGTCTTTATCGCCTTTGGTTTTCAGTGTCTTATCATTCATTACCTCTTTCATTACTTCCACTGATATTTTCGCTTGTCTGGTGTTCATCTCCTTTAAATCTCTGTGAACAATTATAATAATATTATCCATCAAATTTAAAACAAAGTCTACAAGCACAGTGGCATATAAATTTTACTTTTCATGTCGGACTTCCAACTGTTTCATTTGTGTGGCTTGAAGAGACTCCATAAGTTTTACAAGAGCATCTTGCTGCTCAGTAGCTTGTGTTTTTTGCAGTGCCCATTTTTCTCGCCTGTGGCGTTCAACCATCTCAGACCACTGAGTCATTTGCTCGTTAACCAATCTTTTAACACCACCATCATGAAGAACTTCAGTTTTACTAAAAACGCAATGAAAAACTTAATACTTGACTTATTCTTCAATAATATGTTTATCAATATTACTTACTCTTTGCCTTTAACAGCTTTTTCAACAGATGTACACTGTTGTTTTTGTATAGCAGCCTTTTCCTTTGCTTGACGTTTACGCAATGTTTCCAATTCCTTTTCTTGCTTCCTTCTTGCTTTTTGAAATCCCTTATCATTTCTGAGGTACTCAAGGTTAATATTTTCAAATTTCAGTTCTTCCTCTACAACAAAACTTTATTATTCCAAACTTTCAATTCAAAATAATAATAATTGTTGACTTTACCTTTCTTGGGTTCTTCAGACTTTTTGTTTTTGCTTCCTTTTTTACCAGTCTTTTCACCGTCCCCACTACCAGATAAAATATCTTTAGTGTTTATATCGGTTTCTTCAATACCCATTGCTTTCATTTGGTGCATACGTTTTTCCTGCGCTGACAAAAATGCTCTTGGATCAGACAAAGCAGCCATGAAATCTATAAGAAGATCATAATTTAAAAAGAATACTACCATCAAAATGTATTATTGATATTCTATAGAAAAATCAAAAGAACAAGATTAAAACATGACAAAGAATACATACATAATTTGTCACTACAATGGCCATTGAAAAATTAATTATATTAATATTAGAATGAGTAATATTTTTGTTAAAGATTGTACTTTATTTATTTATTTATTGTATAAATGAGCAGAAACCCTTTTATAAATTGTAAGATGGTACAGTATAGAATACATAAGATACTTTACAGAAGATATAAATTAATAAGTAAAACAGATAAAAAAAGTTAAAGTTTGACAGAATATGAATTTCTAAAAACCATAAAAATCAATAGCAAAAATTAGGCATAGTAGCCCAAAACTAATTTTATACTATGTCCAGCTTAACATATCATAAAATCACAAATGAAATTGTTTAAGATAATGCAATAAATACATTTTTTTTTTCAAACCTTCAAAACCATCAGGAACATAAATTTTCAATTCAATGTTACAAAATAACATTGGAAGAGCCATTGGGAAATTCGCTTCCGATCTCAGAGATATATGCCGGTAGCCAGCCTGTAGACCATCTAAAGGTAGGATTCTCTGTCCCAAAAGTTTTCCATTTTCTTCATAAACACCGATCCTCAGTACTGCTAAATCGGGTAATACGACCTGAAAAAAAAAAAAAAATTTATATTTATACTATTGGCATTAAATTGCGTGACTGAAAGTACCTTTCTAAACAAAAATGGTTCTTCGTTGTACACTGGATTCAAGCCGTTACTAGGCACCATTCTAGTACGGAATTCTTTACGGATAGTGTCTGTAGGAAGACCATACATGTCAACTTCAACATAAGTGCCAACCTTCTTGTCTGACAGAAATTGGCCAGCTATCACTTGAACTGAACACTGGGCAGCAATCACACCATCCACAGGAGATTCTGCAAATGGGTCAAAGCTACGGTCTGCTCTGCGCATGAAATCTGGTTTCAATAGGTATCCACAGTTTCCGTTGTATTCAAATTTTCCTTGATTGAGCTGCATAGGTAAATCTGCAGTTTGAAAATTCAAAGACACCATTTGACAACCAGCATTCCAGAAAACCTATTAAAATAAAATAATTTTTCTATTGAAATTAAGAACTTTTGGTTAACAATTTCTCATGTATTTTTTGGTAAGTTTTAAATATTTATATTACAATAAAGCTATTTTTGTACTTGGGGCATATAATTAGATGAGTCGGCGCGTGTTCCTTTTGGATAAATACGGCTCATTTGTCTTTTATTGTAGTTAACAAATTCGATGGCTTGAGATTTTAAATAACCCAGACCAGTGTTTTCAGCAAACGAACTCATGTTATGATGAATGTTTTTTTCTAAAACCAAAAATATGCTAGAATGTTGACCAGGAAACACAAATATTACATTTGAAGACTTACTTTCAGCTACATCAAAACCCTGAAACTTGATTGGTTGAGCATAATTCACCATTGAGGATAACCAAGGATGTACATTTGTAGTTGATCCAGTATATTGTATTGGTGGTGGAGCCTCGGCCCCTTCTGTACCTGTTCCAGCATCAGGTACTTCTACCTAAGGAATCATACAAACGTAATTTATATTAAAATATAATATTTTTGCATAAATAATCAGTGTTCCAATTAACCTTTTTTTCTTCTGGAGGATTTGCAGTTACTGCAGTTGCATCCTCTTTTTCTTCATCTTCAATGACAAACTGTCCTTTCCTAAATAGTTCGAGCTCACTCTTTTCAACTTCTGGTTTCAAACGTTTATTTTTTATCATGATTTTCCTTTTCAACATCGAAGGTGGTGGCAATACAACACCCGCATCACACTTATAAGAAAAAAAAAATGTTTACACAAAAGATTATTAAATTTTATGTCATTATTTACTTACTGGATAATCTGGTAAACATTCTCTCATCAATAAATCTCCAAGAATTTCATCACAATATTTGGCAAGTTTGTACTGTTGACTTTTACAACAATGATTTTCAAATGACAATATAATTGGAAAGTCAGATGTAACAAATGCTGTATCTCGAATTGCATAAATTACATCCTAAGTATCATTGAAAAAAGCATTAATTATGCTTTGATACACAACAAAAAATAATAATCATACCTTAAACAGAATATCTGTACACATAGCTTTTCCATGGGTAATAATAGGTTCTTCCTCTTCACCTTTACCATCCCAGCAATCAAGTTCAACACATCTAAGGATATTTTAAAATATGTATGAGAAAAATCAACAGAATTTGAAACAAATGATTTACTACCAAACAAACTTACCTGCATCCAGCCAAAAGTGTCTGTCGGTACATTTCAACACTAGACTTGCCGCCAAATTGTCGTCCAGACAAATAAGTGTTGTGTGAGGAATTGATATAATAATGAGCTAAAGGTTGATCCATATCCATATAGAAATCTAATCGATCCAAAAATACTGGTGCATTTTCATCAGACATTAAATATCGGATAAGACCTTCTTTAGACAAATGTTCTAAAAAAAAGTATTAACATTTTTAAAAATTAAAGATCAGTAGATAAGAATAACAATATTTCAATTTTTAAAAAAGGACAACAATATCACATGGTAATCAAATATAAACAAAAAACTTCTTCTGATTATAATGTTTCTTTTGTTGTAATCTAACTCGACAATGAACATTTTAAAACAGCCATTTATTTCTTTTAATAGATAAATTATTATTCCTAGTAACTTAAGATAATATTACCAAATAAATACTCATAGTTGTATTTTTAAGTCAATGGACAGGGATATAACTTCTAACCTCTCCCCCTGTACACACCACTGAGGATAACAATGTTGCCAACAATAATTTGTTTATATCATGTATATCAGCTAAAAATCTATATGGTTCTTTGAATAGTAGAGAAATTAATTTGTTGTACAATACATTTTTGAGTTTTGTTTTCACAAACCTAGGCTAAGTCAGAAACCATAACCATAGTATTACATACTATAAAATTGACTAATAAGAAACCTGATCAAAACATTATTTATGTGCTGTAGATTCTAATTATTAAACCAAATTCATAATAAAACTGTACAATAAATTATACAAAAAAAAAGTATTTCAATATTTTAAATTCTTTCACTGATAAAAAAAAAAAACCATTAATTTATTAAAATAAAAAGAAAAATTGAAAATATTAGATGTAAATCACATGCAACAAAATAATAATACCTTGAAATAAGATAGTCCACTTGAGTGATTCGAGTTAAAGATTATCATAATACATTCGAAGGTGATTATCATACCATTCTAAAAACAATTTAGATCAGAGTTTTTGAAATTTTCTTTAAAACAAGTAATTGAATTTTTGTAATAGTATATGGTATATGTTTTGAATATTATGGAATTCAACTAGTAAAAATGTTCAATAATAAAATAAAAATGTAAACCTACTTTGAATAATATTAAATTTCAGATTTTTTTTAAATTTTTTAAAAAAGTATAAAAAACTATATAAGTATAATAATAATATTTCCTAAATATTACAAAATTATTGTACTTTTATAGAAAAACAACAAATTTCTTACTTTCATTCTTCACCTCTTCTGATGGCTCATAGTCATTGATAATTTCTATTGCTCTTTTTTCATCATACAAAGGGTACAAAATCTCATTCAGACGAGGATCCCGTTGTTTTTCATTTAGGAACGTGATGAATTGATCCAAACTGATGTTATCAGCTTTACCTTGAGTACTAAAAAATACAATTTTATATTATGAAATATGATACCTTATACATCAAAAAAGACAATATTTAAAAGTATTTTTTTTTATTTAATATGTTATAATCATCGCTGAGTAAGGTATTTATCAACCAGAGTTTTAGGATCTTCAGGTCTTAAATTATACAAAATAGATCAAATTGGCATAAATTCAATTAAAAACCTAACCTTTATTTTCTCAGTAGCTTTCTGAAACTAATATTTTATTATAATTTAATACAAATATAACACAAGTTTCTATTTATTATTTTTTTTTTCTAAATTATAATTTGATTGAAAAGTATTGCTATTGTTGAATACTTTAGATTGAATTATTATAATCAAAAACAAACAGTAATTTGAATGCCTAATACTTACATTGATTGAAACAGCTCTTCAATATCATTTCTAGGACATATTTTGTGGTACAATTCATAAAATTTATCAAATGTAAAGTCTGATGGCTCAATAGTATCATTCTAAAATATAAATATAATTTTTTTTTAAAAAAAAACATAAATATAATATTTAATATTCCATGTTTTTATTATACTTTTCCACTAGGAAGGTTGAGATCAGCCAAACACTGGTAAACCATTTTTTCAGTTTTACCCGAAGCAAAGGTTCTGGCAATTACTTTTACAGGAACTTTCCCTTTTGGATCAACCAACATGCCTAATCTCATCCAACTATGATGAAATAAATGTTAATTGAAATCAAAATATTTTGTCTTTTTATATATAATGAAAATAACGCACTGTTTCATGAGATTGGTTCGTACACATACATTGTTCATCTTGTTGTTGTGGGTTATCTTTCGAAGACCTTCTTGCCATTGCTTTATAAAAACAATAAATTAATACATACATAAGAATACATAATTATTTGATATTTAATATAAATTTGATTCAATTTTTAATAAAAATAATAATTTTACTAAACATTAACTAATTAACTATTAATTAAAATAATAATGATAAATAACTGTATTTACTGATAGATATACTTATAGTTAATAATGGGATTATTTTTGCGCAAGATTTTAAATTCAAAAGGGCGAAAAAAATTATTAATCATACTTAGTTTTGTCAACCTTAAGAAAAATATTTAATTTCAAACCAACATGAAATATAAGTTTAATAAAATATATAAATATATTATGTACAGAAAATCAGCAACATGGAATTTATTAACATTAATTTAGAGGAAATAAAACAAATGTATTTGTGGTTTAACTGTAATGATTTTCTTATGGAAATTGAAAATATTATTAGAATGAATATAATTATCATGTATTAATAAAAACAAAAAATGTATTATGCGAATCAAACATGTAAAAACTAAAAACTTCCCTTTCTTCTTTCCTATTGAAATAGTATTTCTGTATGGTGAATGATGCAACCGTGAACATGCTAAACTTCAATTAAATTAAAAACTATTGATTGAAGCCTAAAAAGTTAACAGCTAATATGATATTATAACTGTAAGTACCCATTCTTTTTTGTCAATAAAATATCCCTTTTTGTGAGTGAGTCAATTTAGTTGCACGCGAGTGTAAATTATGTTTTAAATGGACATGCATATTATTCAGTTTAGCATATTTTTTAAATTATTTAAATGTGTGTGTGTGTATATAACATAAGAATATAATATTATAGTGTTGGATGCACTATTGTTTACTTTGGCTGTGGCAGCATCTGGGCAAATAACATGTTGATAATTTATGTTGATGTAATCTGTGTTACTGCATATTGTTAAAGATTTCTCTTCCAAGGTATCGCCGTGTTTATTTATCAACTGCTGTTGTTGTCTAGTGTCCTGGAAAAGCATTATAAATGTCCAACATTTAGAAAAAAAAACTGAGCCAAAATTTACAAAAGAAAACATATCTGGTTTCATAAGGGAACATAAAGTTTTAAAGCCAACATTTTTATTTTTATAAAAACAATTACTTTTGGTAATCCTCCTGAGCGTATATCACTGACTTGGCACAATTCAATGACATCTCCGTCCTGGAATAAAAAAAAAAAAAATATATATATATAATTAAATAATACATATAAATAAATATAATGAAAATAAAATTATATATATATATATATATATTAATACAACTTACCCGATTTTCACTCTTCCAGTAAATAAAAAATCCATATTCGTCCACCTTGAATGTACAGCCATATTCAATTTCCACATTATCTTTTTCTTCGGACCAACGGTCAAACACGCATCCTTGTAGCAACACATCGGGAACTGGGATCTGCCAATTGAACTCAAATTTCTTTGTCATTGCGACCGATAGGCCGTGGTGTTCACGTTATGCTCATATGGACTATTGAACAAATGAGCAAGTAGGTAACTATGATTAATTAATCATAGTTGACTAGGTACACGTACACTATACTACTACAGTATGCAAAAACAAATTAATGGGTATTTAAGTAGGCAGCAAATTAAAGAGCAATTAAGGTCGAGGCAGATTTTCGATGTAATATATTTTAAAGCTTATAATATTATTTTTACTAATACGGTCTATGTGCGCAATAAAACTAAATACCTGTGTCATTACCAAAGAAATATATTTTTTACACTTCATACAAAATAATATGAGTGATGTAACACATGGGCACGCATATATATTATTATAATATTAAGAATACATTTTAGAGAAAGATTTTAATATGTTTGTATACAATAATGAATGTAAGTACATTGTGTACCTTTATGAAATAATAATAGTAAAAGATAATATAATATTATAGTAATAATACAATGAATATTGTAAAATAGAAAATAAAAAATTTGTTTTGTTATTGTTTTAACATTTTATAGACATATAATATAGAGACAGACTTGAGTACCTACTAAACAACCTGTTAAAATGTAGAATATCTAATAAATAATAAGATTATAAAATAATTCAATATTGACTTAACAATTTACTATAAACATATATCAAAATGCATAATATTAAAAAGAAAAAAAAGTAACGATAATAAAAGGGAGTTGTGTATTGTGTTGGTTTTGGGTATTAAAAAAAAACCGAATAAATAAATAACTGTCTACAGAAATCATATCAAATATGATAAAAATATAAAATCTATTTAATAATAATTCTAAAGGTCGTGTTTTTTTTTTTTTTTTTATGACAATATATATATTCGTCTAATTATATGTATATATAATAAAGTATAGTTACAAGATAACAATATTTTTAAATTTAACATAAATATTTTTCAAACCCAAATACGTTTGGAATGTAGACAGGTAAGTTTCATTAGAAATATTTAAAAAAAATTGAAGTTTTTAATTAATTCTCGGTCGTTATTCAATACAGTAACGTATTTGTGTACTTGTCGTCTACAACTCGGATCATGAAAAAGATGTGCCAAACAATCATGGAAAAACAATTGCTACAAATTAAAAACTCTTATGCAAAATGGTTTGCCAAATTAATTTTTTGAGTCAAACTATATAGTACCTAACAAAATAAACATGTTTACTAAGATAAAATTACAAAAAAAATTAAAATATGAGTCCTCGGGTGTGGGTCTGCACACGAACAACGATCAGTTATTTAATAGTGCTGCATAATCATATCAAACAAACTAAAACATGAAACAGCAGATACATTTGACGACGAGTATTTTTTACATTCAATGTTTCAAAATCCGAACGATACAAATGGTGCGTACTCACATATTGTGGAATATTATTTCTTTCTCGCGACTGAGTGACCGGCGGATAACATATTATGTATCAACAATCTAATATTTTTAATTGCGAACAGTGTGCCGTGAATCGCCATCGACGAGTGTTTGTCGTCGGGAAATCGGACGGAGTATTCGTGACGGATTCACCGACAACGACGGTTTGCCATTATTTTCGAAACGGTGAAAAACGAAAAATAATAACAATAGGTATGCACTTGATAAAATTACGAGTACGGTTCGACACGGGTCGGTTACGGCCGTGGCGGACGGTCGTGTGTGAACGGCGGTGGTAGAAGCCGATAGAAATTTAAACTGCACGCCTATAGCGTAAAACATAAATATTATAATTTAAAAAATGCCAACAAATTGGAAAAACAGTAACGAAAAAAAAAACACTACGTAATCCATCGGACGAAACCAAAATAACAACAAACTACCGTACGCGGCGGCTGTTATCGATCTTGTTATCAGCGAGTATGTGTCGCGCGCCCGGTAATCACAAAAAAGTAGCCTAACGCTGTGGTCGTATTGTTGTTTCGCGTATTTTCGTTAGTCGCCGGCGACGGCGCGACGGTCCAATGATAATATTTTACGAACCACTGCCGGTTTACAATATTTTTTTTTTTTTCATACGACCAATTCCGTATAGAAAACAACAGTAATGGCCAAGGGGACAAAAGTGGATTACACGCCTATCAATCTTATGGAAAACGGATAGAGATACCTGACGTACGTAATTTTCCTTATCGTTGAGAGTGATTGCATTTCCACTCGGCATTTGTATAATTTATTAATCTATCTTGCACCTAAAACTGGTTACACACAACGCGATTCGGACGCCGCGGTTGTGTCGTGTTTTTCCGCAGTACATTCATTGTATTTTTCGATTTCATTTTCTTCTATACATTTTTTTTTTTTTTTTTTTTTTGGAGGGGGGGAGTAAGTATTAAAGTTTATATACATATCATAAAACCAAACTTTTCTGTGTATTTTAGACAGTGGATAAAAATCCTTAGAATAAGCCCTGCCTCGTTCCTCTCAAAATCAAAAAATCCTACAATACGTTCAATTTCTTATTTTTTTAGCACTATAAGTACAATTTTCACCTAACCTTGTGATAAATTTGCTAGCTTTTATGTTTGGCTAAAACAATTTCATTCGCATAAAACAAAATACTAAAAAACTCGAAAATGCCTGTAAATTACTCAAAAATCACCAGAATTTCTCTTGGTATGAAAAAGACCGTTATAAGTATTCTGTGAACATTTCAGGTCTTTCCAGTTGTTTTAAACCTAATTACAACGAAAAACGAAATCAAAAATAATGAAGTAAAAAAAACCAACGCCCCAATAAAACAACTAGATACAGTTTTCCTTCAGAAAAAGTGCTGCACTTGAAAATCCGAATAAGATCCACTTAAACAAGATTCTCACTGATAAAAATAAACAGCCGGAGCAAAAAAATACAAGAACCATAATCGTATCCGACTATATAACACGTATTTACAACACTCCGGGGTTCACCGATTAATTTGAGCCGTTTGGTGGTCGTCGGGGGAGGGGGGGAGGTTGGAGGGGGAAATGATAATTTTACCGATTATAACACCGCGTGTTCCTACTTTTAACGTATTTTTTCATTAGAAAATAACCATATTTATTAATTTTTTATGCCGCAATTTTATATATATACGAATTGTTTTTATTCAGTTAACGTTCGAACGGCACAATGCCCGATATTAAATGCGGGGCAGTATTCGTCCGGTTGAATCATCACATCGCTATTCCCGGGATTATTGAGAATCCGAGTTCGGTATCCGGGCTGTAACAATATTTTGTCGGCGAACACGTCGATATCGTTACACGCGCGGTGTGTACGGGGGCGGGGTAGGGGGATCGGACTTCAGAGTTATATAATCCGGGGGAAAAAAAAAAAAAATAATAATAATAATAACAAACGAGAATGTTAGGTAACGGTGTTGTAGATATACGTATATATCTATACATTATGCGTGAGAAAAGGGAAGTGTTCGGGGCCTCGGGGATTAATAACACGCGCGGTACCTACACGCCCGCGGACACCCGCCCGGTAAATATTTACCACGAAAATAGCCCGGGATACGATAGCTATACACGAGGAGTGTTACGGCTTTTTTTTTTTTTTTTTTTCTGAAAATATACGAGCATTACGCGTACAGGGGGTATCCGTCTATCGGCGAAACGCGCGAAAACGGAAACTACCGTGCACCGTACGCCGGGCTCGTATAAATATTATATCGGCGGGTGCGTAGGGACGGCCGTGGTGCGTCGATCGTTGATCGCTGTGCCCGCGCGCACCGCCGCGAAAACCACGGGCGTGTGCGGTGCGCGGGTTTGCCGGTCGGCATACACGTGTATTGATATGTTTTATGATGTGATATACGTTACACACGCACGCACACACACACACACACACACACACACATATATATATAAATATCGGAACCCCCCCCCCGACAAAAATGTCTCGGCTGATGTTTGTATCTCGCATCTCGTTGCTATTCCGCGCGCTCGCGAAATATACGAGTAAAAGCCGCGGCGGTGTCGCGTCCCCCCGTTCAGTATTCAAAAGACGCGCGGAGTTTTTTTTTTTTCAAACTGCTCTATATTATTACTTACATCTACGCATTTCGTGCACACGTCGGTGTATGCAATAGGTGTACACAGTACCGTGCCCAGTAAAATCGACACCCCGTGCCAGAAAAATGTACTGACGAGTGAACAGAGAAAAAAAAAAAAAAAGGGTAAACCTGTGTCCGTTGTTCACTCGTATACGTTTGTAGTAAACATATTCAATTAAGCACGGAACTTTAAACATTTTCACCGGCACCTCCTGTGGTCATAGCGTCCGGTGCGTGTGCACCTCTCGCGCCCTGCCGTGCCCCCGGACATAAGTAATAGTAAAAGAAGAGCCGTAACTGATGATGTGTGTGCCTGCACCGTTGTATGCGAGAAGTTGGGAAGGCATAGTTGCAGGATACGTAAAGTAATTTGATTTATATCTGTACGCGACGATACGCCATATTGACCAACGAAAAACGATTCCCTGCGAAGTTCGGGTAAACCGCTCTAAAATGCCGCGATTTTCGCAATCTCCGTAGTAATATTGAACTTTTAAACGCTTATGAAACAAAAATTACTATCTATCTACCGTTCAACCTTATTTTTACGTTTCGAAACGCATCATGAACCTTATTGTGTATAATTTAATAGCATTTTTGCTGGACCAAACATTTTTATTCATATCATAAATTGGAAAATATTATACGTGAAATGTCGCGGTTTTTATGATTTTCACCGAAATTTGATCAAAAACATTGATTTTACATAAAACCGAATAAAAACTAAACAATGAAATAAAATTGGACACTTTCAAATAGAAAAATAATAGTAAAATCGAAAAATAACCTCTTCGTAGTACCAACTTCAATATACTCGCGTAATATATTAAACCGATTATTTAAAATGTTCTAGAGGTTAAGAATTCTCTGACATTCCGATATTAGCCCTTAGGTACAGGTATATAATCAGTTTGTATGAACCGGTACACTCTTACGCGCAAGACGTGTAAATTATTGTTATAAAAACCGTGAGAGAGAGAGAGAGAGAGAGAGAAAAGTTTTGCTCAGATAATCTCGTCCGCGATTAATATAACGAGCTGTAATGTTATTGTATTGTGCAACAGGGCGGGTAAAGAAAAAAGTTTGAAAACCATCAACATAATATACATATAATATACTTATTATTTTATGTGGTATTGCCCCGATTGCAGCAGAACGTGTTACGTGAACTTTCTAAACACCGCGCCGCACTGTACATTATAATGATAATATTTACAGAATTATACGGTTACGAAAAAAAAAATTAAAAAATAAAATATTATAACGAGGGACCGCTGCAATAAAATTCAGTGTGTGTATAAAAAATGTTGTAAATCGTAAACAATGCGGTCTGCGGTTATAGTCTATACGATATTGTGTCTAAGCAGTCTGTACCTAACATCGATATTATCTCGTAAATTGTAAAAAGAAGACATTTCGATGACGCCGACGTGTGCAGGTATGTACAGCGTGCCACGATTGTCAATACAGACTTATACGGATCTATAGCCGCACAATTTATGTGTTATTATAGCGTATATCCATACGTATGTAATATAATATAATATTTCAGAATAGACCGTGGTAAAAATCGGACGGTTATTTAAATATATATATATATATATATATTATATAATTGGATGACGGGTGTGCCGCTGTTTTGTGAAGGAAGTTGGGAAAGTTGGAAGAGAAGATGGGATAGAATAATTTAATGCAGATATATCTGTAGTGTGTACGCGACGATAAGCTATTGTTAACTAAAAACGATTCTGAGCAAAGAAATTATTATTGATTAGTCAAATTTTCCCTTGTTGCCGTGGTAACCTGTAAATCAAAAAAAACAAACTGGCATTTTTCGCACGATAGGGGGGGCCATTGACTGTTGTTGGTGATGTTAGGCTGGATAGGTAGAGAGGAAATGTATTGTATATCTGCAGTACGCGACGATTATTCATGTTTTTAAAGGCCGTAATATTTATGATTTGAAAACGATACATTTCGTACATTTTCCTGTTTTTCCCATTTATTATGAAAACCCAAAAAATCAAAAAATGACCTCTCTAAAGTAACACCCCAGTCAGATTGTCTTTCGGAAAAAGTGCTGCACTTGAAAATCAGAGCAGGAGTTGAAAAAGTTGTTCACGGATAAAAAGAAAATAAACATCATTGTAAAATCAACATATTTCCCGCTCCGCTCTCCAATGCACCAAACTGGTTCGAAAACGCTACACGAAAATCACTATAACGATTGAAGCAAGATTTCTGGTGGAAAACTTGTTTTACAGACACAAAAAATAAAAAATAATAACACACATCGTAATAAAACCAATAGTACATTCCTCGGTGCACGCAGAATATGAATTTCCATAAAACGATTGAGAAGAGACGTCGAACACTCGAGCTATATTAGAGCCGGACATACCATACGTATATATGTATATATATATACAAGACACAGCTAAAGTTGAAAGAGGTACGTATATTTTGTATACTTATTACTTTATAAGACCTTTAAGGTGTGCTACACTTTTTCTCGAATATACAGAATATCGTAGCTGTACATGTTATTATAATATAATAATAAATAATGCTCTCTACGTTATACCGACACGGTTGACGGTAGATCTCCAACATTTTTATATTTTCATGACTACTTTTCCATCCTTTGATATTGTACACACATCAGTATGCACGTGTAATATAAGTTGTATAATATTTTTTATTCGAAATAAAAATACCTGTAATTTAAACTATGTACATTTTTACGATAAGTTCCATAGTTTTTTGAATATACTCAAAAAAAAAAAAGACACATTAACCCTATTTTGCAATTGTTCAATCCCCTTGTGGCACGTGAAGTAATGGGGTGAGCAAGCATGACCGAATTTATCTCAAAGTACTTTCTCATAATTATGAACAAAACGAGGTGTTCAGAATTCAAAAATATGATTTTTTTTTTCTTCACCTATAACTAAGCGCCATCCTAACGTATATAGGCAATAATATAATATTTCTGGACGATGTGGCGAGATTAACGCGTGGTGTATACGTAATACACACACGTCGTTATTGTATAGAGAGACTAAAGAGAGTATAGGTACCCTATACGTACTTGCTAATACCCTGCGTCTACTAGGTAAAAACTAAAAAAACTAGGCGAATTGTACGCGATTTATCATCGATTAAGACCGTTTTACTCATAATACCTATATCTACTTTCATTTATATAAACCCGTAAAATAATACATATAATAATATAGCGATAGTATACACATTAAAGGGTGGATCATATTATTATTCCACGGTGCCTCCCATGGGTTCAAAATATTTTTTTTTTTTTTTTTAATACTATAAGTTTTTTTAAAAATAATAGTATATCGATCAGGCTATTTTATTTTTGAGAAATCTTTTTTTTTCTTTCTAAGACTGCAACATGCATGCTGCTGCCAGATCCCCCCGGGACTACAATATAATATATTATTAAATTATTATATATATACATGTATATTAGTACTATATAGCGGCTGTCAAAAAAAATCGTTCGTAAAACGTGTTATTATATTATTATAAGTGCAGGCCAAAATGTACAGAAACTCGCAATAATAATAATATGTAATAGTACGACGAATTTTAAAAATAGAAACAAACATTTTTTTTATTTAAAAACTTACTATTATTGTGTGAACCATTTTATGAACACAATTTTGGTGTAGTTTTTAACTATCAAAAATAAAAAAAAAAAAATCGATTCTGAGTGTAATTCGTGTGTACATGTTTTGAAATGCCGTAATATTTATGAATTTCGTCAAAGTTTTATCTTAAAACGCTATGAATCTGATATTAATCAGTATCTAAAAGCACATTATACCTATAAGTAAACGCAATTTTCATTGATTTTTAATTTTGTTTTTTTTTTACATATAACATATAGAAGGTAACTTTCAAAGAACAAAAATCGTAGAAATTTGAAGTTTTTATTTCGTTTACAATAATTTGAATACAATTATTTTGGCTTGGTGAATGTAGTAGACAATTTGACATTAGTTTCATCGTAAGCTGTATAAAATACTTCGTGATGGTATAACGATAATGTTCAAAACACTTGCGATTGGCTTTTTAAACTTAAAGAAAGTTCAAAAATATTGAAAGCATGTCTATAATAATAACCCGCAAAGGTTTTAATGTATCCGAAGATCAATATCGGGGTTCAAGGTTAAAAGTACACTATTTACCATGTTTAATATTTTATATGTTTGGGTAATTAAAACTAATTATTAAATATACGCTGATGGTGCGAGAAAAATGGCTTACGGTGCAGCACCGTGAAATGTCTTTCCGGAGAGAAATAATTATTTGTTGTAACGTCAGCCGTATTCACGTGTGTAAAGATTAATTATATAAAATTGTTCGTTTGTGTATAATAACTGTATAAAAAATAAAACGAACGCTATAAACAGTCTGCAAATATACTTTGAACCGTGGGCACACTATTGGCCACTAGTGGCGTACGTAGGGGGGGATAAGAGGCTGAAGCCCCCCCCCATTGACCGTTTTTATATACACGAAAATATATATACGTAGCTTGGTGCAAGAAGGGCCAATGTCATTTTTTTTAGAAAATCAGTTAGAAATAAATAAAGAAAACGTACAATTATTTATTTTCTAAACAAAATTTGTTTAAGTTTTTATAAAAATTAAAAATTACACAAACATTTAATAAAATATACAAAGCCTTATGGGGAAATAAAATTTCAAAGCCTATATCCCAACAATCACAAAATGTGCCATTGGCCTTTCTTTCACCAAATCACAGTTATATATATATCGTGTATTGTACACACATATTTTTATATTTTTCAAGTTTCAGCTGTTTTAATTATTAGTAAATAAGGACTTTTTCTTTTCATAAAGCACACTATTTTCGTAAGTAAATAATTTAATTTACCATCGTTATCTATTTACTATATTATTAGGTTTATAAGATTATTATTTTTGTTTAACTGAGGTGACACTCGTTATAAACAATGGTTTTGTTATTATTACAACTTTGGCGGTTGGTGTACACGCGAGCTGTCTTACGCCCACACAACCTTAGATAATATCTATGATTGGAATATTTAACTTACTGAACTGATGTCACCAATAATTAACGCATCGTTAAGTTAGCTCACGGATGTTGTAGATAACAATAATATAACGTTAAATTAGTGAAAAACAATTATGTAGATAATTTTGTTTTCACTCTTTCTCTTCGGTGTCAACGCAATGCTATTTTGTACACTTAGATTTTTCATCCTTGTTTTCGTATAAAACATGCCTCATAGTTTTGCAAACTGAAAATACTATTTAATTATTCATTATGGCAAAAAAAAGATAGAATATTTTTCGATTTTTAGTTTGAAGAAAAAAAAAAGTTAAGTTATACAACTCACAATTCAAACAATTCTAATTTTGGTTGGTCTCTGTTTTTTTTAAAACTCTACTAGTTTAAGAATTGTATTTTACATTTTTATAGTTACCTAAACATTAAAGTTTTTTTTTTCATATTTTTGTGTTTATTATCAGTCAAAACTAAAAATACAACTATTTTATTTTTCAAACTTGTGACAAAACAACTGATTAACAATACATTTTCAAGCCCCCCCCCCATTTAAAAATCCTGCATATGCCACTGCATGTAGGCCACTGTTTTAGGTGAAAAGGTGGGAAGGTATATATTATATTGGATATATTGGGTGCCTCGGTTATTATTATCGAAAGAGACGATAAATCATCGAAATAAAAAAAAAAAATCGATTCTGAGCGGAACTCGATAATAAATTGATAAGGTTGTAATCGTGTTTCTTTTTTTTTTCATTTTGTAGCCTAAAAGTTCACCCTGCAGAAATCGACAAAAATAAAACCAATGTATCGTGTAATTTGTTATCAGTTTTTAAAAAACAGAACGCAAAATCCATATTTGTTAAACTACGATATATATATTATATAATCAGAATATTTTTAATTTTTACTAACCGAAAAAGTATTATCCGAGTAAAGAAAACACATTTTAGTAAAACTTACCGTTTTCTTTGGTATTATACCCACAAAATCTAAAATCAAGTTACTTTAATATGTTAAAATATTAATAGTACAACCTCCGCTAAAAAATGTTTAGGGTTTATTCAATTTCTAGATGTACTCAATATATGTAGAAATGTGTATTTTTTTCTTTTTCGAACAAATTCTACATAATAATATGCACAATCACGCTTGCGTGTGACTATCTCTCAATAATAATTGACAGTGTTATTCGGTAAAAATTATAATATTATGTTGTATTCCCGAGAATAATAACAGTATAATAATTTGCTACATTGTAAAACGCTGCGTGTCTTGTTGTTTTTTTTTTTTTTTCAAGACTCATCATTACGATTTAACGCTAATAAAATCGATAAAAAAAAAAAAATTAGTCTACCTATACATAATATTATTTTTTAAAAATACGGATCACATGATAACAATACTATACAAGTATTTACTCGTAGTATGTGGAGTTTATTTTAAAAGTAAAACAAATAGCAGACATTTTTAGCAACAATAATTTATTATATAAAAACGTCCTGTGTATTCCACGCGGGAATAACTGCGTCTGCGGGGCTTTAAATTATAAAATACATATGCTCATCCCCGTGCGTGTATAATGTATATATATATATATATATATATATACATAGGTATATCTGTTGTCTTGAAATTTAATCGGTGATAATAATTATAGGTTAGGTTAAAAATGAAAACAAAAAAAAAAAGATATATATATATATATATATATACATATATTATGTACGATTAATCTGTTTAAAATTTAAAAACAAAAAAAAATATACATACAGGCGGTCAGTAAAACGAGAATAATGTTTTTCTTGGCGACGGAATGCGGTGTCGCTATACACAACATTATACATCGTCGATAAAGAAGTAATTAATTAACAATAAATTATAATTATAATACATTATGACCTTACCCCGGACAACGTGGATCACATTATATTTTATTGGAAATAATATCGATAGTATACGTGTACGCATAGCCGCTTGTGGTCTGTACAATTTTTTTGTACCGTTTTATACATTGATAACCAACATAATATTATTATACTGCGCTATGGTGAATTCGTATTATCAATAGTATAATTTTGTTCCACAGTCGTTTTATTCCTATCGTCGTAGCACGTGCACACGCTGTGCCGTCCGTGTGTCCCGCGCTCCTCCGATCAAAGGCGTAGGTACAGATTATTTACGGGGGGAGAGGCGGAGAGGGTCACGACTATATCAATTATTTGTAATAGAAGTGAATTAGAAGTTGAAAAAAAAAAAAAAACAAACGTTTAAACGTTAATATTAAGTTGAAAGAAACGGGAGGGGTTTAAACCATCATCCAAATCTGTATATCACCACCATCTCCTTTTACCTACGCTCCTGCCCCTTGTTTTTAACCGCATTATTCGCGTGAAAATCGTTTGCGTATATTATTATATAATACAGAGGAGAAGTCAACAATTTAGAACGGGAATAACATAGTTCTATGCCGTACATTTTCAACAATACAAATGCATTATGTGTTATCATAAAGTATTAAGTAGGTATTTTTGAATACCTTCTACCTAAACATATTACTATGAGAAGAAAATAAACGATTGTTATAAACTTTTAAGGTGGTATCGTAAACTTATATTATAAATCATTTGGGCGAGAAGAAAAAAATGAGATCCGGTGACATTATATTATATACAGTCCACCTCGGCATCACTGAATATATATATTATGATATAATGAATAGAATTCATTATTGTTGTTGTAATTTTTTTTTTTTTTTTTTAAATTAAAAAATACTCATTTATCGTATTCAAGAAAAATGATAAATAAGACTCGGTTTTCAGTTGTTTTTTTTTCTCCCATAATTTTCAGCGTCTCCCGCGTTTGATATAATAATTATCTATCTGTATTAATATATTATAATGTAATATTATGTATACTTGCTCGTAGTTTCTAAATGTGCATTTTTTTTTATCATTATTCAAATACCAATTACCAATTATTATTAATTATTGACACAAACATATTGTATCGAATAAAAACACTTATAAAAAAATTAACTATATTTATCGTTTTGTTTTCCTTTGTTTTCCTACGTAATCGTAAAACTCTACGAATTTCGCGCTAATTGTTAAAATATTTCGGCAGTATAATATTCCCGTCTTTATCGAATTTCTAACACACGCGGGAAAAAAAAATCGTTTCTATAGACCGAAACGGGCAGCTGATCAAATACATATACAATAATACGACTGGTTATATTATTCAGAATGAGAATTACAATAAAATACAAATACAAATAAGATTAACAGGAAAAAAAAATAAAACCTAGTCATTTTTAATTTGTATGCAAAAATATTTTATAATCTCGTGTTTAACGCGCGCTCAAAATCTAAATGTTCGTATACACATCAAACTAAAAATGGCCAATATAATAACATTATCTTTAAAATTCTAGGCAATCAATCATACATAAATACAAACGGAAACGCAAAAAAAATATTTTACGATTATTTATCTCCGAATTACAAAAGAAAAACAAAATCGAAATTAACAGACAAGATTGACCTAATTTTTAAGATTTTCGTCAAAATTTGAACATTAAACGGCAACGGAGAAAAAAAAATCTTATCTTTATTTTAATAGTAAACTGTTTTTATATGAAAAAAAAACAATTTAATGATTAAGCTTGTATCAAATTTTCGAGCAATATTCTACGGGAACTCAGTAGAGACATGTAGACAAAAATGAGTATGGCAGTTATAAGGTACAAAGTTGAAAATGTCGAGTCTGAAGTTGACATTTCGAGATGCAAAGCCGAAATTGTAATTGTCTGTGTTACACTAAATTGCGTTTCGTATTTTCGTTAAGCCAAAACTTTTGTCTTAACTTAAGACAAATATTAAATATAAAAATCTAAGTAAAATTATTAAATATAAAAAAAAAACTACCGGATTGTCTAAATAAACTTAAATTTAATTTTAATACTTTTTAGATTTCATAATAATATTCTACAACCTCCACCAACATTTTTTAGACCAATAAATAAAATTTCTTAAATCTATATCGATCTCATTTACGATACAATTTTGTATGTTAATTTAGATTTAGTTTTTCTGTAGTAATTCGGATAAAAGTAATCGTTAAGCCATTTTTGCGTTTCGGCCCATATAGATATATGATTGACACAATCTTTATAATACTCCTGCAGGTTTTAATTTGGTTTTTTTCCATACACGTGCATATATATTTATTTGTTTGTTTCGCATGTATACCTTTATTTTTATTATATATTTACATTTATTGAGTATTAATCTAAAACAAATAATGAAATGGAAAAATTCGAAAATTTTAAACAGTTATAAATAACTAAAAAAATGCCGGAATATTTTGAAAATTGTGTAACGTCTAGAATAATTTCCGTATAATTACTAGACTAAAAATAAAACTGATATTGACAGAAACTGTTATTGCGTACATTTTTCTGGTTTTCCAACGACTTTCCCGGATTTCCTCCATTATTGAGAAAACTACAAGAAAATCAGAAAAAGATCTTCTCCATGCACCAATTAGATAATATTTTTCACCAGAAACTACTCTTGAAGTTCAAGAACATAATTTTGAAAAGGTTTTACTTGACAGAAAATAAAGCACAAATCATCATCATAGTAATTAGTAAGTTGAGCTGTTACATTCTACAGTGTATGTTTAGAATCTAATATGAACGGATAATATTTTTGAAAATAGAATGAGTCGATTTAGTGACATTATACGTTTGCTGAACAGCGAGTTGGCTGATAAAAGTATTACAATTTAAACGTAAACTGTTAACGAAAGTTTATTAACGTGATAATTATTGTTTTCATGGTTTTTATTTTTAATCTAATGTTAATTGTATTACATTTTAAACCAATAATAGATGCTGACGAATTCCGCATCTAAATACGTTGAAATACTCGGAAAATAATAATAATATATTGAAAACGTATTCGGTACAAGTTGTACGACTTCTGTCTCCGGCGCGTTGATGCTGAATTACTTTCGCTTTTCGCAGACGGTCTTCTCGTAGTATCGAAAAATATACGTATACCCGATAGCGTGCTGTGCTAATATTCGAAATATGAATAGCGAAACAGACGGACTTGCACACTTTCCCAATGTTGCGGGTGCACGCGCCAGCAACTATGGTGGCGGGTTTTTCGTTTAAAACATTTTTAATTAACATTTTATATTCTGAATGTAGCGAAGAAACTATAACTACTGAGATGTGTTCTTTTTTTTTCTCGGAAAGTATTATTTTAGTTAGCAAAAAAGCTTCGATTTTTCCACGTAAAATTTTAAGTTATGCATTTTTGCACGGTGGTACTTCATAGAAATTTTCAACGGTTAACGCACTAGATTCTTGGTTTTTCCTGATATTTTGGTTTTTGTCGATTTTACGGGTTTTCTCGATAACAAGGGAAAAAACATGACTCGGCTCAGAATCGTTTTTCGTTATCAACGATTTATCGTTGAATGTATTATATAACAGTGGCCGTGATCAATAATATATTTTTTTTTTTTTTTTATAAAGGTAGTGAGATATTGAGTATCCCACGGAGATCTGACAAGTACAATATCTTTTTTCTGATTAATATTTGTACATTTTTCTTTTTTTTAATAATTTATAGAGCCTTGCCCTATGATTTCTATATTTTTTTTTATTTATTTTTAAAACTAAAAATAAAAAAATTGAAATTTTTAAACAACAATAGTTTATAAAATTCAAGATATCCATATAATATACATTAATTGTGATACAAAATGTTGATGTTATAAATGTCTACTAAAAATGAGTTGTTATTTCCTATAACTGTTTGAAGTTTATTACGATAATTTAAATAATTGTTTTCATTGTCATTACTAAATAATGTCAATATTGATTCAATCATTTGTCTATGATAAATAATTTTGTTAATAATTTTTTTAAACTTCAAAAAGTTGTAGATTAACAATTTAACTTAAAGACGTAACATTTCGTCATTAGTAAATATTTTGTAACACCAAAATTGTGTTTCAAAATATATTTATATAATAGCTATCTTGAAAGTTGTAAAATCAATGTTTTACTTTTAGTTATGCAAAAATAACATATGTCAAATAGATGAATCGGCGTAAGGTTCTAGTAATAATAACTAGGTAAGAGGAAACAAAACTTTAACATATTGAACAAAATAATAATTGTTGCTTTTGTCAAATCTCCGTAGGATATTATAATATCGGTATATCATGTCGGCTTAGAAACAATGAATCTTATCAACTAAATGCACCTTTTTAATTGTAAATTGAATAACTATTTATACTATTTCTATATCAATTAATTGGATAATAAGAAAACAAATTGATTGAAATCATTTAATATGCGTTAAAAAACAAAAATCGGTCTCTGATATCAATCAACGTTTCTTCGACTCCAGGCCAACGATTTCACCACGATATTGGAGAAAATCTAAAATATAATTATTATACATAACAGTTCAATAGTAAATAATATTGTTTTCTAGTTTAGTATATTTTTATGTACCAGACTTTTTGTACCTTTTGGAAAACTTCAATAAAGATGGTAACTATTCCGTATAATGAAAACAATTGTGTTTTTTATTTGTCATCGGAATATTTGATTTATAATAGGTGGTAAGTATTTGTAATATTAATTCTGTTCTGATAACGTCTCGTTTATAAATGGTTAAAAAATAAATGTAAAACGTTAAAATAAAAATACTATAAATTATAATACCTAACCATCATCAAATAAACATCTATACAATATTTTAAAAATTGTGGGAAGGCAAATGTACTAATGCAGTATATTTTGTATTTCTACCTATATATTATAACATTATGTACAGTCGGTTGACATAGTTAACACGAACAAATATGCTTGAATGGTATTTATTTATTGGTAGGAAATATTTAACTGCTATAAATCATATCGGCGTTAAAGTATCTCCGATGTTAGATATAGTTTTTATGAAAATTCGCCGGCCCGACGAGAGTATCAGATAGGGGAGACGGGAGGCGAATGTTTTAAACGCAGTATATTAACCCGTAGTTTTTTTTACCGTTGTAAAAACGTGATACACGATAATAATTATATTATTATGTCTTAATCGTCGTTTTAATGTATACAAAACGTTTAAAACAAACACATTGCGCAACCCTTATAATATGTTTTATAATATTATCCACGGCAATTTTACTGCACACAACAATAATGCAGGAGGGGTTTCCGGCCGTATACAGTGTACACAATAAGTGCTATTCAATTAAGTTAAATTATATAGGTATAATACTATAATGCATGTTATTATTATTATTACACCCTCGGGCGGGGTACGCCATTAGTTCTCCTTTCAGTCGGACATTACGATAATAATACGCGTGCCTAGTAAACGCGATATTATTGTAATATTATCATGTAGCTCTATATACGTACACTCTCCGGGCAGAAATCGGCACCGCGTCGACGGCCCGTCCGCGTATTTACAGATCATATCCGAATTGGACTTGACCCGAAACGTAACCTAGTTATTGGTTTTCGATGATTTTACAACGTCTTTGGAGTTTCACAAAACAAAACCTATTATATTGGCGGTGCGGTTCGGACCCTGCTTCAAAGGGGTTAGTGTCCTAAGCGTAAACCTAAAAACTAGGACACTAGTCAGTGAAAAATCACGACATTTAGGTACATATGGCTTGAACCAAATTCGAATAGGGTCTGAAAATACGCGCATAATATTATTATACTATAATGCTTTTTCCATGTTTTTATCGGTCAGCTGAAAAAATAGTTGTAATTTATACCGCGACCCAACCATTCTTGGCGTGGAATATTATTTAACATATTTTTTAAAGCGTATTTTAAGTATTTTAAGGCTAAAATTATTTAATATTTTTAAGCCATTATTAAAATCTATAGGACTCCAGGCGACCATAATCAATTTATAGTATTCGAGTTTGAAATAAAAAAGAATGTATTGTATAATATATTTCATTCAAATGAATTGTTATACGGGTTTTCCAATTTATCATCGACGCCAGTTTTGTAATGTTTTTTATCGAGTTTTTCCCAAAAATAGAGACTATTGCACTGTATTGTGTTTGTTACATTTATAATTTTTTGTCCTGTACTTTTAGACACTTTTAGTGGCTTCCTTTGAACCAAATAAATTCTAACTCGGAAATTAAAGTTGTTTTATAGGAGAATTGAAGTGATATAATTTTAGTTGAATTTCAATGTGAATTTATTTTACCATTTTATTGTTGGAGGACATAGTTAGTGGTAAGTTAGATGTATAGTGAGTGATTAGTGATGTAATTATCAAGGGTGTGTCTCTATGGGGTTTCAACTTTTAACCACCTTCCCAATCATTTGTGCGCTTAAATTGTACGTTTTCCATAGACAAGTGTGTTGGAAAAAATTCGATTCTAGCAACGGAGCTTTATTTGTTTTCTCTGAATAGTAAATTTTTGTAATTGTTAGTTTTTTATGGCATATCAATAAACAATAATATGTAATATGTATATTTAATAGGTTTTTAGTACATATTATGTTCTCCGCCTTAAAATAATAACGTCATCATAGCCAATCGTTCGCGCGGCAGTCATATTATAATATAATACTCTGTTATGTGATAATTATATTTTGTACGCGAGTAAAAATATAATATTTTACGATCGACAATAGTACGCGGATAATCATAATTATTATTTTTATTATATCGTTTTCTAACTTGTATATATATATACATATTTATATACGTCATGCGATCCTTTGGCAGAGAAACCTTTTAGGCCGATTACCTCGTTATGTACGGAATATAATAATACACGTCGAGGACCTCGTTGTAAGCCGTTTACGAGTTTTTAGTCGAGTAGCCGGCAATATCATAGCAGTCCTCCTAAGTGCGGACGACAAGAATCCGGCGGTGTTGGGCGCCAGTAAACCCGCAGTACAATATTTCTGTACAACGATAATATAATATCATTATTATCGTCGCAAACACATATTATTATTACGTTCGGCCGCCGCCACGGTAACGCTAATAAAGTGTACTACTATACAGTTATTATGTAGTTTTTGTCTAATTCGATTCCTCCGGGGCGAAAATGTCCAAGCTATGCGACATTGTTCTAATGGGACTTGCTGGATAGCGAAAAACCTGGAGTTTTTTTTTATACATAAAATATACTGTTCAACACTTCGAACTCGGATAAATTTTTTTTTTTTTTTTAACGATTTTCATATTTTCTTCGAATTTAATTTCTTCAAATATAAATTTTTGTCAACGAGCAATTTTCGATTATTACTAGTGGCAGCTCGTGAACCACGTAAGTGACGTGGAAAATGTTTTAAAAACTACAAGGGGGTAGCCGGAAAAAATATATTATACTATCACAAACAGAAAACAAGGTTCATTATTGTTTGAAATTGTAAATCTAAGCTACTTATCAATATTATCCTAAAAAAATCACCTATCGAATCGGAATATTCTATTGAACGTTTCACTCCGATCAATATGAATTTGTATAAAGCCTCGTATGTCCTAAATAATATATAGTATAACATATTATGTTGTACAATTATAACATATTTGGTTCGCTGATCATTATATTTGTTTTTATTTTGGGTTGATTCGATCTCTAGGACCACCATTCAATTGTGAGACGCCTTCCAGTTATCCATAACTAAAGTATTCCGATTTGGTCCGCTCTCTAAAACTATTCCACAGTTTTTTAACTACGTCTTTTTGCCTCATCGCCGGTTTTAATGAAGGCCTTTTCTCTGTTGTTGGGTTCCATTCCAACATTGGCCACCATTGGTGTACGGGGGCGGGATATTAGAGATTAGGCTTGAAATACAAAAAAAAAAAAAATAAGTAGTTTAATATCGAAATGCGCATATTTCAGCCAAGTTACGAGGAGCAAAAGTTACAAAGTTACAAAAGCAAGCTTTTGATGTATTGATTATAAATTATCTTTGTTTAGGATCTGGTTTTTGAATTACCAATTCCCGTAGTCAAGTTGGGTAGAGAAGTCGACTTTACGACTCGTATTTTCTACATCTTCTCCCATTAGAAATTCCTAGGCAAACCACTGATGCCCATACAGTATAACTAGTGCTGTTAGTGAATTTTCCCCATATATATGTCCAGTTCATCGTATCCTTCTGCCTTTTCTGGCGACTTCTAAAATATTTATTCTTTTTTCGGACGTTATATTTGTTGCTCTCCGTTTGTATTTTCAGTAATAGGTATTATTATTTGGATGTTTGTGTAAACCACGAGAATTGAGCGTCGCGGTCGGTAGTGTACACCGAATATTACTGAACGCATTCCTAGACCCAAGTACCTATATATAATTGCAGTTTATCTAGTCACTAGGCTGTAGTGTTGCCAAAACTTGTCTGTATAATTCAACGAGATCGTATGGAATTCAATATGAGAAATGCAAAATACATGTTGAAAAATGTACATTTAGACGATAGGTAAGACGGTGTGTAAACCATAGAGTACCTAATACTCTATATGGAACGAACTTAAAAGTTATACATTCCCATTACCAATATTATTATTATTACACAACCATATAAACCGCATTGGGGGTAAATGTTTTACGCATTATACTATATACTTATGCGTAAAATACGTTGGTGAATACGAATTTCGTGTCTCGGGACCCGAGTTGGCGAAATAATATCATATATTATAACAACTTTGATCCGCTTTTGCGAGGATATTATACATTAATCCGCCAACAAAAACCACGGAATTTCATTTTGAGACTGTTTTCATACCGCATATATTATAATATTATTATATCCGGTAGTGACGCATGTATTTTAGAACACAGGGTGATTTTTTTATCACGATCAAGCGATTATCTACGAAGATTTTGGGTGCATGTAAAATTGACTTTGGTTTTATTTTTCAATCATTAAATATTATTATTACTACTACTGTTTATTTTCTTATAACAAAGAAATACTGAATCTTACTGAGTCTTTCGTGTTGGTCAGGTTAATAATGGTTAGTAATGTACTTAGCCAAAATAAATAACAATATTATTTCAATTTATTTATAATAAGTATTATTATTTAGGTACGATCTATTAACTACTGAAAATCTTGGCATTTAGTAAATAGCCAATATGTTATACAGTTTTTGAAACAATTAAAATTTGTATTTGTTAATGCTTTTAGTAATAAGTTCGTAATTTTTGTACTTACGATTATACCTATTTGTACCTACGAAATATAATCATACAACAAATATACATAACATTCTCTTTTGACTTTCAAATAACAATTTCCCCTCCCCCCTCTCTAATGTTACACTACATTCGAGTCGCGATAACTCGAAAAACTTGACAACTCGATTTTTTTTATTCCCTAAGAAATTCTCATAACAATATCAATGTATTATAAGTCTTGTTGACTCTAATATAAAATTGTGATAAATAGCTAAGTAAAAGTAGATTACATATTATACAAATATATTTCGTAAATTTTCCGATTTTTTTTTTTTCATTTTTTCGCATTTCAAGAGAAAACTTTTGAAAAAATCGAAAAATGATCTCCCTAAAGTACTACTCTACACCGATTTTTTTCTACTGTATTTAATAAATAGCACATATGTACGTACTTATAATACCTTTTTATCTGTTTCAGTTTATGTATAATATTTATGTACATATATTTATTAAAATGTTTTTTTATCGTAAAATTTTAAAATTATATTTTGGTTTAATTTTGATAAATTCAAGTTAAGTATTTTGAACAATACATATATTGAAGTGAATTTTCACTCCCTTTCAACTTTGATAGTGATAAAAAATTAATCACCCTGTATAACTCACATTAAATCGCGGGTTCGAAGTCATTAGTGAACGGGTATACCTATAAGTTTGTAGCAGCAGGCGAAACATATTATATAATATGCGACGACCTATTTTTTTATTCATGTGAAAAACAAAAACAAAAATACGGTTATTTTGTTTTAATGAACATACCTACTCGAATTCCCACGCACTAATAGCGTTAATATTCGGGCTACACAACCCCTCTATTTTACCGACAATGTGAAAAAAGTAAACGAAAAAAAAATTCTGAAACGAAAAAACGAGTGTTAAATCATAAAATATATTGTATAAGATAAATCTTACAATTAGTAACTAATCAATTATAGTAATGACGTCAAATGATTTAAAACTAATTAAAAACGGTAGCGAAATGGTTTTGGTACTAATTTTATTCAAGGGTGAACAAATCATAATCAGAATATCGCCTTATTCTTACATTTTGAAATTGTTTTAAATCGGCAATAAACTCTAAACTCGGATATATTGGATGTTGGATTAATGCAGGTAAAAAATACCACATCTTTCTGTTGAAAATTTAAAAAAATTGTCTATGACGTCACATAATAATATAGTGATAAATTATTATACCTGTATATATAGGTATACAGGTATAATATATATATATAGGTTCGTGAGCATGGCTTCTGAATACCACCGAATGTCTATAATACGTACTTTTTAAAGGTTTCATCGTGTCGAATCTAATTAAAAACATTAAAACTGTATAGTACCAGCTTACAACCGAGCTGTAGTATGCGCATAATTAGATAATAATTATACCTCTATTGCATTATAAAGACCAAATTATGTAAAAAAAAAAACTTGTACCGTTCAAAGAGTTTTGCGAATAACCTATAATTTTATGTTCAACTTTTGAAATAAACTGATTCATATGTATATTTACGTTGTATTTTAACATGATATAATTTATAATCTATGTAGGCATATATTATATGAGTCGCATATTAAGTTATTTGCTGTAACTGGGTTTTCGTTTTCCACAAGAACTGTTATTATTATTTTTTTAACGGAGGGAGTTATTCGTACTGTTGTCAAAAAAATGTTAAGGGACCCAGGTACAATATATCACTGTTTCCAACCGCAAAATATCATAATACTGTAAATTCAGTATACCAAGCTAAATATAAATATTATTGTTCTTGCGCATTATCGTTTCGCCGCCACGCTACATTTCTACTTCAAAATGTCACCAGACGTGGCATTTTCCATTTTCCTTCTTTATTTCTGCCCGTCGTCGACGTAAATTATAAATGACTAAAGGTTATAGGTTTTTACTTAGGACACTATAACTTCCATAAAGCATAATAGGAAGTTTGGCGTGGTGGATTTTTTTTCTATTTCAATGTTGTTACAAGCCTTGCGTTATCATTTTCCGATAACTGTGTAGTCTCCTTATTGTAAGTATCTTCAACTTTATTTCCTTGTAATAATTGATGATTAGTTATAATTAAATTTAACATTTTTTTTTATACGTTATTTTCATTCAACCAAAAATATTATAAAGGACAAAAATTGTTCTTTTTTCAAAAATAAACGGCACATTTCAGTAGATTATGTATTTTTAAAATGTTCGAACCTTGGCAGTATAATTTTTATAATACAATAAATTTATTTTTAATTGTTTTCTTCAATACAGTATAAACAATTATTTTTTATGACATAAAGGTCCTGAACATTTTTATAAATTACAGAAATAATAAATTTAATTTAATAAAAACAATATACTCGATTATAATACATGTTTTAACGTCTATACCTTAATGTATTATAGTATTAAAATAAAACGTACCTATATTAAAATAGATTTTTCACTATGAAACAATTAATAATGCACAATGAAATTTGAAAAAATAAATTTTTTTGATTAAATTTTGAAGTCACGATTTTGGTAACATTTGTTACTGCAATATAAAATTTAAGGCATGAGTAAGTAAATTAATTAAAATATTATTAACTCGGATTAGTTTATTTATCACTAAACGTTAAAAGTTATTTGAAAATTAAACTAATAAATTTAAGGTTAGAAGTTATTATTGTTTGTAAAAATTATTGTTTTTGTCACATAAATAGTGAAAGTGGTTCCTGAAATATTAAACACTTTCCTACGCCTACGAAAAAAAAAATTATTATTATGTACCTATATGCGATAGTACCTACTTATTTAAATAGTGAATTAAAGATTTTATATTTAATATTGAGTTAAAATTAAAATTAACTTAAACGCATTTTAAATCAAAATTAACACATCATTTACTAATAAATCTATGAAAAAAAAAAAAATAATTTAGTTAAAAGTCAAGTCGATAAAAAAAAGGATAGGTTTAAAGCTAAGTTTAAATTATATTATTAAATTAAACTTTATCAACATTAAAAGTTGAATTTTAATATCTTAAAACGATAATGTACAGTCTCGTATTAATAACCCGTTTTATTAAAATATGGGTTGTGGTACCTACTGTTCATATTATCGTGCTTTGAATATTACTATGTGAAAATAAACTGACATAACTGATTGAAAATGTTGAATTAAAATTGATTTTTCGTATCTATAGTAAATACATGGATCATGGACTTTCGACGAATAATATTTTTGCCGTCTTCTTGTATATTATATTATATAGGTTTATTTGAAATCTTGCGAAGAAAGTATATAAAGTATATTATACCAACACATATAATATGAATATTCCACTTGGAGGACGAATTAATTAATTTTAGGTATGCAGATTAAAAAAAAAAGTATACTCAGTCAGACACGTCGAGTGTGCAGTATAGACTCGGTGTTGTTGAATAATGACGTGTTTTTGAAACACAATATGAAATTTGTATTCTTTAAACAATGTGGTCTGTCTATATAGAGTACGGTTCGAACGGATTCAATTACCTACCTACCTACTGTAAAATTGATCTTAAAAGACTAGCTAAATTATACAGCATCGCGAGAAGCGTCGATAAATTATTTCCAAAGTTTCAGCATATTTTATTAAATCCTTAAAACTTTGTGCGCGTATAAATGGGGTTTTTTTTTTATTCTGATAATAAATTAATACTTGGCTTTATTTTACGGCTAGTTTCAAAATTATACGTTTTTATTATTTACTGTTGGTTTATTCGGTTTATATCGCAGGGCTTGTATTTTATAGCAATGTAATACGCGCAGAACATTGGAGCAAAAACAATTGAAAACAAACATCGAATTGAAAGAAGAAATAATAATTTCGAGAAAACTTTTTTCAAATTGAAAGCTTATAGGTATACATTTTATACAGAAAAAAAAGCTATAATATTGATTGTATTTTCATATTCGAATTAAGAAGCAATAATTATAAAGTTTTGGTTCAATAGAAAGTTATTCTCTCGAAGAGTATTTTTATTTTTTGCACTAAGTACTTATATATACTATATAATACAAGTATATTAAAATAATAATAAAATCAAACCATTATAATCACCGTAAACATATTTTAGAAATTAATTTACTTTTACCATGTATAGGTGTGTATTAAACTCGATGGTTTTGTTCAAGATTTTTAAAAATAGCATAGATAAAAAAAGTTTCAGTAGTTCAGTAATTTTAAACTTTGACCGGGGTGTTTTATATTATTGAACCATAAGAAAAAGAAATATATTTATCGCCAATACAAATACATTAGAAAGTACCTTTATTATATTGTAATGACGGTGTAAGGATTGGGTAACTTTTAATGGCTATCGTGGTTAAGCGCTATACTGCTATTATTACACACATCTATGTGTTATTTACGATATTATGTCGTGAACTCGACTTTGTATAGAATGATTATTATAAAATTGTCGGCTCCCATACATTTTTAACTATAATATTAGCTACATGGAAATCAAATTAAGTTTTTTTATAGTTAAAAATACTGTTTTATAATTGTATATAATATTTTACGTGAAATATTTGCAGAAAAGAGGGGAAATAGCGTATAGAATAATAATATTAATAATAATAAAAACAAAAAACTGTTTCGAATTAGATCGACGGCCATTGGAATAAAATTAATTTGAAAAAAAAAAACTGTTGTCACTCAAGACCACTGTTGTGCGTGGAGAGTTGAATAGTTAGGGTATATTATTAAAATAATATATAGAACAATTCGGGTTAAATCTCGAATGTGGTGGCCAACAATAATAAATCATAATAAACTGCATAATACGATTTCGAATGATGAAGCTCTCGGTAAAACATTTGTTTTTTCTTATTGAAATTGAAAAATCCACTAGTATCGATAATCTAAAACACCTCGTCAATTTCTAACTTAAAAAAAGTGGAAGAATACTTTTGTCTATGAAAAATGTCTATATAATATAATATATATATATAGCGATATGAAAAATTCGGTAAACGTATTACGGATCTATACATTTGATAAAATAATAATATACAGACGGGGACAAAAAGCCCACTTCGCAGTAAAACTTCAATACATTTTGTTCGCTTCGCTCAGAATGTAAAAAAAAAATTGTTTTCGTGGGGTAAAAAACTTAACGTTGCCCTTAATTATGCCAGTAGGCGTGTGCATTCAATTGTACGGCGATAAATCGAAGGGATTTTGAAAGTTTCGTATGCACACGCAATTGGCTGTGACGCACGCACGGCATCATCGGCGTGACTCTTATTAACATCGTGTTTGAAATTTCGCGTATAATTTTTGTGTAGCGTGGGAACGAACAACACGACCAATACTCACACAAACCCACACGTTTTTGTAAAACGTACAAAATTTAATATAATACCATATAGTATTAATATGTATATTAAACACATAGTTTGGTTCGCGTGTGATTTAACGGTTACCATTATAATAATACAATATTATTTTATTAAAGTTTCGAAATATATAATTAAAAAAAAAAAAACAATTTCAGCGTGACGTCCCGAATATAACTTGTTAAAATATGGTAATATGTACCGTAAAACGGGATGACTTGAAACAGATGTCAATGTTTTTTTTTTTATTTCTCAAAACATTAATTGCAAAAGTGTGAAAAAAAAGTTATTTTTCGGATATATTAGAATAAAATTGCATATAAACAAATTTAAAATAATTAAAATCTGTAATTTTTTTTGAAAGGCAAAGTTTGTTCGGAGTCACTCCGTTTTTTGGATAACTTCGATCATCAGTAATTATTATTTTTAATGGATATTCGAAACTAAAATTTTTCCTAATGACTTTAAACTAAATTTTTAATCTTAAAAAAATGGTTTTCAATCACCTACCTCAAATTATTATTATTAATATTTATTATTTCCATTATAATTATATATAGGGTTTAACAAATATTATTTTAAAAATAAAAGTATTTTCATGTTTTATAACATATGATATTAAACTACACGTTGGAAAATAACATATATAATTTTTTAAAAATTTAAGTATTTAACTAAACTAAAATTGTTTACGTATGTGCCAATATTCAAGGTAAATAGAAAACTATAATTTTAAACCTACGGTAAATAAGGTATAATATTTAAGGTAATATTATAAATTCGTCGTATTCTACACAAAACGATGAAAAAAAAACTCACATTACAATACGTCTATACGACAATTTTACGTTGTCGTATAGCAATATTAACAGTTGGATATTTTAAAAATACAAAATAAAACCTTTCTTATTTACGTTCATATAAACATGTTTCCTGTACCACATGATATTGGTTAGAAGGTACCCCTGATGATTATTTAACATGATTAATAAGAAATTAAATTTGATATCTACTTACATTGATTGAAGTTATGGTAGCGTATTATAACCATAAGTAATATATTTTAAAAGAGTTCTGGCAGCGACAAATTCAAGATTCGTCATTCGTGTGATAATGTGCGTATAAAGTTCAAACTGTACTCAAACATTTTATGCGCGTGCCTAACGACCGTAACTCGTAAGTCGTAATTGTCAGTACATAATATTATTATTGTGTAAGTGTGATAAAATGAAATTGTGTGGTTTTGGTGAAAATTAATGAAAAACAATATTATGATACCTTTATGGTTCACGTTATTTTTGTATTTTGTGTAGATACGTCACATAAATATTGATAATATCGATTATTGATAAATATCATACGGTTTTCTGATGTTAAAAAGGGAACATGAGCTGCATGAGGTGACAAAATTACTGGGTATACATATTTTATCAAAGGGCAAAGATTTGGAGAGGTTTGGACTTGCGATACGCGGGGAAAAATAATAAGACGGAATCAGAGTGGCTATATTGAAAGGAGATGAACAAGCAGGTAGAATCTGACAAAGGGAATTAAAGAAAGTCCGTAGAAAAAAGAAAATATTGATTGGGAAGAATAATGTATTCGATATGCAGAGACAAATATGAAATGAAGTTTCGTTGACTGCTATAAGGTTCATCTTATTGAAGAGCTATTGTTAAGTTGTGGTAAAGAAGAGAGATATAATACAACGAGTTTTGAACATACTTTGCCATTTCGTAAAATTATCAATAAATATTGCATAGGTATAGTAGATTTTATAATAATAATGGTCAGAATACAGTTTGGTGCAATTATTATTTCTCTTCGTTATCCTTATATATTGCGGAATCGAAATAACTGCGATACAAAGTGTTATTGTATTTGCTTACCTAATACCTCATAAAATAATTTCGGTTAACAATCTCCGCGTCTTAATATAATAATATAGCATACAACCCGTAAATCAAAAGTTTGATTTTAAAGTTTTAATTGAAAGTTAAGAGTTATAACGGCTATATCGAGAATACGCATATTCGCTTTTTAACGGCGGTAGTATATATAGTTTGTTAATTGTTTTGCACGCCCTAGTAATACAATTTTAAGTCTCCTCCGTGTTACCCCCTCGTTTTACTTTGCTGCACGTATTCCGTATATACGAGTATATAGTATATATATATATATATATATATATATAATTTATTAGGCACTTTAAAATTTACAGTATTGTACTCGCTGTAAAATATAATGATTTCAATTTTCTAAGCTTTTGATTTGAATAAAAATAATGTGGTAAATGTAAACAAAACAGACAGGAAAAAAATAAATACACATTATATAGTAAAATAAATAGATCCCCGCTACGCTCCGAATCTAATTAATTAAATACACGTAATATTTACCCATTTTATACCGAAATTTAACGTTTTACGCACACATAAGGTCTTTTTCTTTCATCGTATTTATGTCTGGGCGGTAAATTTATTATAGAATAAGACCACTTAAATATTATTTACTAAAATTTTAATTAATACGCTATACATACATTATTATATATAAGCATAATAATTTATTACAATAACTCATATTATTTCAAACATTCGTAATTTACTTTTATTTTTTCGTAATTTAAATTGTAATTAATAACATCGTCCTTTCAGGCGTTAACACCAAATTAACGTTAACATCATATTAATATGATGTAGTTGTACACCCGTCGTACGTGGTGGGTTATAACGGTCATTAAAATATTTAAAATGGCTAGTACTGAATCCAAATGCTGAAAATCTTAAAGAAAAAAACTTTTTTACATACAAATTTTATAGGACTAATATATACTTCGCACGATGGGTGGGTCACTGGTGTAGATGAGAAATTGGGAAGGTAGGATATTCAGAGGAATTTAATGTATATTTGTACGCAATGATTAATCAACGCTACAATTTACGGTTTAAAATAATAAAAAGCGGATCTGGCCTTTTAGAATATAAGATTTTGGTTGAATGTATTGCGTTGAATTTAATAATTTAATGTACTAATATTGCAATCTTTTGTGCTTAAAATATATGTAATATAGGTTGTACCCAATGTAAATGAACTAACTAAAATTATTGTGAAAAATAAAGAACTAACCGAAGAGCAGAGATGAAGAAAAACCTGATAGCTATGATAACTGCAGATAACGTTAGGAGAAAATAATATTTTAGAGATCGTTAAAAAAGAACACAAAATAAGGAAAAGCCCTTTGGGAAGGCCGAGAATGAAGCAGGAAGAAGTAAATTTAAAAAAGGAGATGAACCTAATTGGACGATTTTGAAGATAACTGGAACATTGGTTGTGAGACGGGATGGTCCCAGAGGCCTCGAACAAATAACTCAAATAATAATAAAAATTATACAGTGTCAAATGTCAAAGTCGATAAACTAATAAATTAATATACTACTGGGAATTCGGAGTATGTAGCCACCAGATCTCTTCCATCGTGTATAGTACAATTAACCTTTACTATTAACGGTATTTTAATTAACAATTAATTCAAATGCGATTTAGGAAATATTTTGTTCTCCTAAAATAATTTCGGGCCACACGATTTTCGTTTGCTTTGTTCGATTTCCGTAATAAAATAAACGGCTGGTATTTGAGTTTGAGTCACATAAAAGAATTGTAAAATACGAGCATTTCGACTATTGCACAAGTGGTGATTTATCTCGAACCGCTGTAGTTATTCCCAAGTCTATTGCTATATATATTATTGTGTTATTAAGTGCCGTTGTTTACCAGACAATTTGTCGAATAAAATTTAATAACTTATGCGTTTAAATAAATGAAAACAAAAATAGTAGGTGCTAACAAAACAACCCGATAACAGTAATATTGTAAACGGTAAATAAAACGCGATGGTCGAATAAAATAGACGAGGATTATACTATATAGGGAGTGGCGCGAAAAAATAGCATTTAAATCCATTTAAACATAATTTAATCGGTTAAAATTTGTTATGCTTTTTTTTTTATTATTATTATTATTTTAGTATCACTCACATTGAAAATAATTATAGTTATGTACACATTTAAACAATATGTAAACATAAATTACAAAATCTCATCCGAGTGACCATACCTGAATCCTTATTGTTTTCTTTTCCCATTTAAATAAAAAGATTGCAGAAACGAATAAAATATGATGGGGAAACTATATTTAAGTAATTTATACGTATAAAATATCAATGAATAAAAAAAAAACCCCACATATTACATATTGTATAAACGTATATAACTGTACTGAACAAATTAATTAAATAAATTGTTTATGTTTGACAAACACATCTTTAAAAGAAAAACCCCCATCAATTTATCATCATGTTGAACAATGTTGTTCTGATACTAAAACATTTCGACTCGGCTCTATATTATGACGCTTCTGTTTTTACATTACAGATGCATTTTATCACGCATAAATCAATTAGGTCTGCCTCTCCTATTAATTTACGATCATCAATTGTTTTCAGCCCCCCCCCCATTCCCAAAAAAATATAACAAAAAGCGTAGAAAAATAAATATATCTATTTACTTTAATAAATAAGTATCTGACATAGGTTTATGGGAACAGGATTTTCTTCGATAAGTAAACATTAATTATTATACGATTATATCATTTGGATAATTTTATCATAATATAACATTTTTGTATAGGTAGTATTTTACACTTGTACCAGTTATATACATCGCTATATTTTTGTAACATAATATTATCATCTCGACTTAATAGGAACAAAAATAAATAAATGTTTATACAAAATCGTTCAGTTTCCCGTCAGTCAAAATCGAACATTTGATTATTTATTTATGTAATATATTCATATAATATGCGTTATTATGGATATGGAGAGGTAGAAACTGCTACCCTACGATTTTTATTGGGGGTTGTAAATTAATAGCTAGCCACCCTATGCGTAATTTGTAAAATTGTTTTATATGTTTTTCAGAATATGATGACACCAATATGATACCATCAGCTGTAATTAATTTGAACGTGTAAACACCATTCGAAGCATTACTAAAATGTCTACCTTATTCTGTTCAACAAACCGACCCAATTATATACTGTTCCCTCGTTTTGTAATAATAATATCATAACTGAACTAAAAGTGTACTCTAAAATGACGCTTATGTAATATGTATGTGACCGAAAATTATAAATTTAATAATTTTTTACATTTACTGACTTAGTATGCTTATCTTAATATTTGTGAACCTTTATAATATATATACATTTTTTTGTTTTTTTTTAGATTTAACTTACTCCAAGCGAATTCATATTATGAAAACATTAAAAATAAAATATCATTATAACATTGGTTGTATATTGTATATAAATTTATAATTTTCATTACGTAAATATTAAATTACACACGGTTAGAGCATTTTTTTTTTTACGTTACCTAATTTAGTTTATTAACAATTTATGTTCAAATAAAGAATTCGTTTAGCATAATATATTTTTATGTTTTAAAATAAAGTCATGATCTAATTTTAGTATTGTTTAAACATTTTTTTTATTTAATTTTGGTGAATTATACAACTACCTATATAGCTCACCAAACAATATATTTTGTTTTTAAAACCCCGCAACGCGGATTAAAGTCAAAATAAACGTAAATAAGTATAATCCATTACTTTATATGATAATATACTATGCGGGTTTTTAAGTAAAAGCACAAAATAAACGTCAACAAAATATTTCATAAAAGTACAAGTTTTTTTGTTTTAAACATTTCCAGAGGTTTTTATGAAGTTAGAAAATATAAATGAGTATTTATGTATTATGCGATATTATATTATAATATAATATAGTTTATTCGAGAAGTTGGGGATTTATTGATTCCGCTGTTTTAATATCAATTCCGCTGGCTTCGTCGAACATTTGTAAAAATCGATTCCGCCGAATATATATTTAGATTAATATAATAGTAGAATAAGCAGGTTAGAAACCATGAACACTGTATTTTGTTGAATAAATTAGTGAAGAAACTGATTCATTAACTGATTCATTGAGGAAGGTTAGGATTTTTGAAAATTCCACCCCTAAAATAGGTGAATAGGTGATATAAGGCATGAAAGTCAAAATGTTTGCGGACAAAGGGCACTAAATTAGACCAATATATACAATGTATGTACAGTGTATATTATGTACAATAAACTGTAGAGATAAAAAAAAAGGAAAAAGTTGGGGATAATACAGATAGTATGATACATATATTTATTCTATTGAGTATTGCGTATTATCGCATCGGTTTCACACCAAAATCTTTATAATAAATAAGAATTTCATCGAAAAGCCGGAAATCCGAAATAAAACTACAAGTTTAGATTTTCTAATATGGTCTAGTGTTCAAATATAATAAACATTTAGTAACGGTTGTAATCGTTTGCGCGTTTTATGTTACACCACCATAAAAAAATTATATTTGAAATAATTTTTAATGGATGATTTGTGCTTAGTATCAATTAAAATAAAAAAAAAAACAATTAGAATAAACATGTAAAAAAGTTTGACGGAGTTGAGAGCCAGCGGAAATTAATACATTTTTTTTACAGGTATAAAGGTAATTTCGGCGGAATCGATTATACTCGAGAAGTTAATTTTTATACGTATTATAAATACTTAAAATAGTATTGAAATATTTAACATTTTTTTAGCATAAATGTGCCTACATATTCATTTAATAAACAATGCCGACTATAAATTAAGTGGACTTACATATTATAAGTATTATTTTTTATAGCTTAATACACCGATATATATATATTTTTATTTCTAATATTTTACCGAATAATAATTTAAAACAATTGTGACGAACATTTGAAAACCCCATTGAAATGAAATTGCTTTTAAAAAATATCTATTTTTTCGTTCAATTATTCTGTGAATGTAAATAAAATATTAGGTAATTTAATTTTTTAAAAAAAAATACTATACTATAATAAAATTATTTAATAACGAAATACTACCTATAAAACTTGCATATCAAATATTAATATCAATACAAAATTCATAGGAAGAGAGATATTTTATTATTATATAGGCATATAATATAGTATATATATATATATAGGATGTTCAATATTTGAAAATGGTTTGAAATATAAAAAGGTTGATACTTGGGTGTGTCACTGTTTTTGGAGAGAAGTCGGAAAGGGAGATACATAGATTAATATAGATAGATAATTATTATTTATTAATTTATTATTATTATATTATTATATATTTATTATTATTTATTATTTACTTATTAATAACTATTAAGATAGATAATTTGATTTATATCTGTATGCACCGATGAACCACCGATAAACTATTGCTAACGAAAAACGATTCTGAGCAAAATAGTATTAGTCGTATAGGATCTACCTACATTACACTGTAGGTAGTAATTAGTATGATTAACCAGAAATCAGCAAAAGTAATACCAATAATTGTTAGTTTTTCCGGTTTATTTATAAAACTTCAAAGAAAATTAAAAAACTACATTCTCACAGCACCAACTAATTCAAAAATACTACAAGAAAGTTTTTATAACGTTTTTAGTTGGAGAAAGATTTGGGATATTAAACATGTTTACAGACACATAAAAAAAATAAAACACTACATCATGCAATAAAATTATATTTACATTTCAAAATCTAAAACGTATATAATTATATTATTGTTGATTCATATCTTTTTAGCATATTCTTCTAAAAAGCGAGACAAGAAACCCGAAATGCTTAGATAGGTATACTTGATATATTATATATTTCGATAGTATTGTAAAAAACCAACAGAAAATAACATTTAGATAATACCTATTAAAAAAAAAAAAAAACACTGAAATTGTAATGTATCGACCAGTAGTTGTAGGTATACGCGAACAAAACCGGGTCGAACAAATACGAGATGGCTGATTACTTTTGAAAAAAAGGTATTGTGAAATATATGACCCAAAATATAAAACAAAGTCGCAGACCTACACGAGAGAAGAAAATAATCAAGACTTGCGAGAACTAAAAAATATTCTATCTTAATGGTGCGGACATGTTTGGAAAGCTAACGCTAAGTTAATAAAAGAAGTATTGATAAGTAAAATGAACAGAAAACGACCATTAGGATGACCCAAGACCCGCTGGGTGGATGTACGCATTATCGCTCATAATACAAAAGACATTGAAGAGAACGCGACTTTTGACCTGGCGTAGGTACAGCAGAGAGAGAGATGGGACTAGGTTTCATGCAGATGGCATCAATGGTCCACAACCGACCAGCAAGCTGAACAAGAAGAATAAGAAAAAAATCGTTTATTACGTTAGACCTTGGCATGAAAACCGTATAATATAATGATCAGATATTCAGTTAAGCTGTACAAATATTCTATATATTATGAAAAAATTACAACGTCCACCGCCTTTATAGGTTTTGAGCAGTTTCGTGATTAATGAAGCGTAACGTGCATCGCTTTAATTGCGTAATGTAATTACAATTTTTTTACTCATCGTTACTATTGTTAACAATAATTTCGACAGCAGATTTACTTTAAAAACTACGAATTATCTATTTTTAATTGGTTTGACAAATATTTATAACTGTTAAAACTTAAAATAAAAAATGGATTTCATCAAAACAATGGAAATAATACTTTCAGAAATAAATATAGTATCTATTACCTAGTAACTATTAATTACATATACATTTTGAAGTAAATATAATGTTGTGTGTAATAATGCCATTAGGTTTTAGAAAGGTAACAATTAGTGAAACATTGTAATTCTATTACTTTTGAAAAGTATAGATAAATATAATTTCTTATGAAAACTTATGAAAACTGTTGTAGGTTTTAAGATATTGCCCGTTAGAAAACAAAAAAAAATAATAATATAAAATGTTAAATTTAAAATAACCGAGTACGTAAAATATCATAATTATTATATTACTAATTAAATATATTATAAAAAAAAGCTTACTGATAAATAATATCATTTGTATACCTTCCGCGCTGTAATACAATATTATAATTGAAACACCACCGCTGCTAAACCAACGCCGCGGATTAGTCGAGCGTTTTTCTTCTTTTTTTTTAAATTTAATATTTTTTTAGGGATTATATTCAGTTTCATTCGCTTCAACGTTAGGTATGCAAATTTCATATAAATTACATATGTATATGTATAACGTGAGTACGGTATTGTATTTTTTCACGTTTGTTGAATAATTATACATCATCTCGTGTATATATGTGTAATATTTCCGCGTGTATTATATACAGCATACAAAACATTAAAATAATTTCACGATTTGAACACATATTCTGTTTAAACAGTTGCCGATATACAGACCAGCGCCACCGTTCTCTTATACAGTGTGATGCGTTTCGCTCAAATGATAACGAACGTGAAATATTTTAGCCGCACATAGACGAAAATGGGGTTTTTTTTAGCGGCCCCACCCCCGAAGTGAAACCAAAAATTAACATTTTGACCCAATTTTCAAAACTTGAATTTTTGCGGCGGTCGTTCGCGCACAATAAAACTTAAATTTATCGTAAACAGAAACATACGTTTTTGGAACCCACCAGGTTCGAATAGTCCTATTTCTTTTCTCAAGCAACTCTGTCCAATTCATTTTTTCCCACCAAAACAATTAATTCGGATCATTAGACCGATCACCTAAAGTTGATTAAAAAATATGAATTTTCGCGCATACCGTGAAGGTAAAAATTTTAAAAATAGGCTCATCAAATCACAAAATATGTAAGAGGGTATGTAAGTATTGGTCTCCGATTATCTTCTTAAAAAAAATTAATGCATTTTAATCTGAGTCTATCTGGTTGAAATATTTCGAGTTACCATCCGAGTAATACGCGCTGTCCCTATAATATTCAAAGGCGTTTTTCGAGATCGTTTAAAATCGGTCAATATATTATATTAAAAGCACTGATAATTTCATATCATATAAGCGGAAATCAGTTTTATTTTTTTTAAATAAATTAGTGCCTAGTCGTTTTGATTAATTAAACTTAAAACTACAGAGCCACGTGTTTATTTTAATTAGATTAATTATAACCTATATAATATTAACAACGGGCTTTAATTAGTAGAGTATAGCTTTTAGGATTTCAGAATCCGGTATTTAGGTATCTATAGCATCTATAGAATTCGTTATCGTTTACTGCCTACTATTAACTTCTTGGGATACGCAAGATACACACTAAGAAGAACATTGATCTCACAGTGGCGTAGCTAGATGGAAAAGGGCCCCGGTGCGATTAAAAAACAAGGCCCTCGAACTAATATGATCATTATGAAAATTCGAAATATACCTATACACGTTACATTGAATTTTTAGGTGAAAATGCTTACTATGAAACCACAAATGAAAATAATAAACAGATAATTAATAAATAAACAAAGCAAAAAGAAATCCAGTTTAATATACTATACAAATTATAACTATCAGTAGGATGAACACCGTTAATTGCATATTGTTGTGTGCACTATTGTTTTAGGTACTTAAATACTGATTGTGACTGGAATTACCGCGTAAGATTTAAAACATTCATTATTAAATACATCAAAATTTGCAATTATTCTAAGGAAGTAATTTCAGAATTGTCCGAGACCCTCCGAGATCTGGGGCCCCGGGGTACTACCCCATTTTGTCCTATGTTAGCTGCGCCACTGATTGAACAGATTAGTTTTTCAATTGAAATTCGTTTGAAAATATAATGGTTGCGTATAACAGAACAAATTACTATCGAAAACTACTTTTGATGTATATAGATAAATGGATTAGGTCAAAATCGTGAAAACAAAAATACGTTTTTTTTTTTTTTTTTTAAAAAATCCTTATTGTCTTATTGTCTTTTTTCGGACCGATAACTCAAAAATCTTCTAAATATTTGTTACATTTCGTTTTACAAAATATACTTATATCTATTTTGCGTGAACATATTATTACTTATAATAACTATTGTTCTTACTGTTGATAATGGTCGACGAGAGACTCGCTCTTAAATTTATAAACGATCAAGTTATATACTATAAGGGGAAACAAATCGACACCAGCATGTACATGCAAATAGCCCAAATATTTGTTGGAAGGGGTTGGAGTTTAAGTCCCCGTAGTATTTATTACGTATATACGATTTATCGGTTATTTTTAACATCCCACAGTTCTAAGAATTATTATTAATGTTTTTATTATAATATTATTGTTTATATTAATAATATAAATATGTATAACTAATCAATGGTTAATGATGATAATAATATCTTAGGTTATCTGTACAAAATCAATAATATTGTAGGTATAAGTAATTTATTCGAAATTTACTTTATCAATAATAATTATTATTACTACTTTTGTACGAGTAAGTACTGTCCTACCGTGTGTATTATAAAATGTTTTTTCGTTAGATATACATATCTGCTCAAAACGAGCAATGTCTACACATAACAATATTATATTAATTTAAAATTTTTTAAACATATATAATAACAATATATTATACGTATTTCTATACACGAAATTTGAAAAAAAAAAAACAACAAAAAACCGTTGTTCGCGTATAAAAACCGTAGGTACGTTTCGGTTATAATAGAGTCGAATAGTAATTTATAAATATTCATTGCGGAGTAAAGAATCGAACATAATGAACTATGTTATATTATTATTATTATTATTAGAAGTGTATAACATTCAGAAGTTTGACGCGTGAACGCATTATTACGATGATGTTAACTATCTTATTCACGATTGAAGAACAATTGTATTCGGACGTTTCCAAATTCCTATATAGGTACTTTAAAAATTATTAAATTCGATGAATTGGCTACCTACGTATATAAAAGATTTGTTTGTTTGTTATTTTTTTTTTTTTTATCGCAATTTAAAACGTAGTCAAGCGAAATTGTATAGAGTCGACTTCTCGAACATTTTTAAGCGATTCGTTTAGACGAATATAGGCACTTAATATATAGCCACCGAAATACGCTTAAGACGCAATAGCGTAGAAACTCGTCGGTACTTAAGGCGCGGGATAAAATACGGGTTTTGTCCAATAAAATAAATGTCGTTTTGAAATAAACACGACTGGGGTGCGTATACATGTGATGTGCGACCGTCGTCTGAGCGGTTTAACGGTCGCCCGCGTTTAAACGTAACGAAAAATTAGCCCCGACGACGACGGGATGATTTTACACGCGTATATGAAAAAAAAAAACCCAACGAACATTTTATACGAACACGCCAAAACAATATTCTGTCCGGTGTAATAAATCGCGGTATACCTATTACAGCTGGTGTCGAGTACTACGCTACGAGATAATGATAATCATTATTTTAGGCATACAAATCGTGAGATAATGAATAATATCGGCGCGCACCGCGAGCGCCGCAGGTAATAACAGGTACTATGTACGCATTACTGTAACATTGTTGTATTACGGGCGAAAAATAACGGTAGTAATAAAAAAAAAAATCCGAAAAAATGCACGACGATATTATTATAATATGTAACGTCACGCGGCGTGATAACAACTATAATATTGGTATGGTACATAGTAGCGATTGTGAACTTACCGCGGGAAACCGCGCGGATCACGGTGCCGTTCGGCTGCGGGCGGAGGAGGCGTCGGCTGCGGCGGTGCTGTTGCTGCGTGGGCGGTCAAGGAAGTACTGATTACGGTAGCGAAAGATTTCGCGCGATATATACGCCGCCGTCTGCGCGCGGCCGTGTGTGTGTGTGCGTGTGCGTGTGTGTGCGTGCGTCTGTGCGCGGCGTGCGTGTTTTTTCACTTCTCCGCGCCGCGCGCGCGTTCCCCGGTCCGCGGCCGCCGAACGGGACGCCGCGGCGACCGCGGCGCGGAGGGACGGCCGCCGACAACGAGTGCTAGCGACGGCGGGAAACAAAACGCAATATCGATCGGAAAAGCGCGCGCGGGAAACGCACGCCGCCGGAACTTTCGGAACGACGCGGCGACCGCGACAATTGACGACGACGGCGATCGCGTAGACGACGCGCGAAAACCGCGTACGCTTGACCGCTCGCCGAGTCACTGTCGCGGGTCGCGGGCGAAGCTGTACGGACACCGGGGTCGTGGAGTGGTGCCGGGAGGATAGGGCCCCGAGGGGGCGGGGACGGAACGGCGGCTGGTCCTGGCCGGTCTCCGGATGGACTTTATACTCGGCCGAATACAAGAGCGAAACGAAAAACAAAAACAGACAAGGTCATTTCGGCTGAGAATATTTATAACCGTATAGGAAGGCGACTTTCAATGTACAAAACTTAACGGCAACGGATCCAGTGGCATATTTAAAAGGGGGGGGGGCGGGGAGAGATATTTGGGTGATTTCCACTTCGTTTTTTTTTTTCTTTTTATTATCTATTGCTCATAAAACTACGAATTTTTTAGTCGATACCTTTTAGTCGGCAAAATCTAAAATACGCCGGTTCCTAATAAATATATGAAAAAATACCATCCCGAACGTAAACATTTTCTTATTCAAAACGAAACCTACCCGAAACACTATAATATACGAAAATGGATAGATTAATGCAACAGCAAATAAACTAATAATAATAAATTACTTTAATATGAAATTTAATATAAACCGATTGTAAGGCAGATTGAATTATAAGCTACTTACACGTTGTACGTAACAATTTCAAAATTCGATTCCGCCATCCAAAGCCAAATCTTACATATGGTTCGATCTAATGAGATGTTGTTGGTTAGCGTCGTATAGGTGTACCAACATATTTAGATTACGTTGAATAATTATATATCGGAACGTAATCGTAATGTTATAATAATTGTAATAAAAAATAAATAAATAATATTAACAAAAACTGATAAGATATAAAACAATCGTGAAATCAGTAAAACAAACGTTAAATCCGATGGGAATTTCGTTGACAGGTCATAAGGCGGGTGACGTTGAATTTTGGTACAAGATTCGACAATATTTATTCAAACTGTCGAGTTTTGGGATCATGTACCTACGCACATCGGTATCGTTTCGAACTACGACTTGGTATTGAAAATCGTAATATTATCTGAAGTTTAAAAAACGATGCGGTTGAAATTCGTACGGTTCGATAATCTTTAATAAAATCGGGATTTTTTTTATTCCGCGGACGTTTTTAAAACACCGGTTTTTTAAAAAAAATTCGTTTAGAGGAAAAAATAATGTCAAGTTGTATAAAGTCAACTTGACTTTGATCTCTGAAAAAAAAAAACTCACATAAACGCCATATTGAGCGTGGCGTATAAATAATATTATTATAATAATACTGTACACGTCCGTTTCGATTTGTCGATTTTACGCCGTCACCTGTACAGTATATACGACGGACTGACCTACACGGGGGGTCCTAATTAACGACAGCAACTACCGGGCAGACGAAAGACCATTATTTCCGACGGAATATAATTTACGGGCTTACAACAGCTACATTAGGTGTATATTGGTAGCTGCTCTGTTGCACTGCTCGGCAGCAGTCACGTGTGCACGTGTTGTTGACATATTATACCGACCTATACATAATATACAGAGTGATGTATTTTTCATGCCCACTCGACTTGTTTCGATCGGCTCGGTTTTTTTTTTTTTTTTTGGTGTTTTTGTTGATTTTGGGAACCGTTGAGAATCTATAGTAAGAATTGTCGAACAGTCACGTACCGTCTGGCGGAAAACGAAAGAGCAGCGTGAATTTACGTGTGATTTTTATTAGAATCGAAAATGTGGTAGCAGGCATAAAAAAAAACGTATACACAGTGACAAACGCAGGGAAAATATCGGGGTGGGGTAACACGAAAAATGTCAATTACATTTTGACCTTTGTATTGCTGCAAATAAAATATATATTATTTATAAATTAAATAACAATTTATGTTTCGTCATAAAGTTTGAACACCCGACTACCTTTGCCCCCCCCCCCCTATTTGCGTTTGCCACTGCACACACGCATATTTTTTAAATCCAATAGTCGTCCTTCGCACTCTCCGCTCAGAGTTTAAACTCTAAAGGATCACCCTGTACACGCAAACACGTCGTATGTTATATCATTATGAGCGTGTATTTTTTTTTCTCTAAATAATAATCTCGCGTCTGGGCCCAACCGCCGCCGACGTTGTCAATTTAGACACTATTGTGATCTATTATCGGCATTGATCGAGTGGCCGTGTGTTGATGAGATGAATTATTATCGCTATGCTGCACGTGATTGTCGTGGATTGTTTTAACGAACGATTGGAGAGCAACACTCTATTATTATATACGCAAGCATCACGCAACAACAATACTTGTGAACATCAAAAACGCGACGAAAAAAAAAAAACAAATTTCATGACCCCAGTGGTGGTCCATGTTGTAATAATGTTTTAATACGACGAATCTGAAAAATGGATGCATAGCTATACCTACACACGTCCTGTCACCTGGCACCGTGGGATCGGATGGTATCGAACGACCAGTGTAATACCTGTATCCGTACAATACAATGTAATACACGCGTATGTTTGGTATATGAAATATTGTGAAAAAAAAAAATCATAACAAAAAAATAAAAAGCAGATGGGCGCGGGATTTAAATTTGAAACGTGAACGCCGTTCAGTGGCTGCATTTTACACGCCTCGCGACTGTTCGTATTATTGTTATTATTTTTTATGTTATACATGCAATATATTATATTGTTATGTTATTTACGGATGAAAAAAAAAATAAAAAATAGATGGAAAATATCGTCGAAATAATGCAATTATTATCACATTTGAGCGAGATTACAACGGAGAGGTGCAGTTTATGAGCGTGATGTATTTTTGATGAGTAACGAAAAACGCGCTAAGTGGAATTATTTATTTTTCATTAATATAGTACATAATCTTACACAAAAATTAACGAGACATTTTTGTTTTTGAATCATTGTAAGGTAAGTTTAAATCGATATTGAATATTGAATATATCAAATATTTGGAAAATAATCTCCGGGATGAGTAAAACAATTCTTGTTTTTCACCGATTGTACTGAAAATCAATAGCAAGATTAAGTTAGGTTAATCATCTAGTGAAAACCTCATTCCAAAATTCGCAACCGTAAGTGAGATAAAGCGTATACGTATGTAGAGAATAAAGATAGACACGCACAAATGCATAAAGTAGCTTATACCTACGCTACTAAATAAAGACGAATAATAATATTATAATATCAATGTATCATACACCTCTATATTATAAGTTTTAAAAATAAAAAATAATGTTTCTTAGCAGCTAAATTATGAATAATATATATACAGTACCGGTGTACCCACGATTATTTACCAGGTGAAATTTTACTTCCCCCGGTAAAATTTTCGAGAGTAAAACATCACTAGCCAAAATTTACCGCCTCCCCTCCCCCACCGGTAAAATTTCACTTATTATTTTTTTGAAATAATTTTCATTATCTGTTATTTCGTTAAATATATGTTAGTATAATATGGAGAGGGCTTTACTGTGTTTATAATATTATCCATTGTTAATTTACTGTGGACGTATAATTTCATTCTGCATAGTTTTACTGATATATGTAACGAAAAAACGATCCCAAGTGGAGTTCAGTTGATAGTGTTGCTTTGCCAACATCATATATAATATATATCATATTAGGGTAAAATAATTTCATAGGAATTATTTTTCCACACAAACATTATCATTATTTTAATTTATTTATTTATACACAAACAGTTATGAATAATTTAACTGTTAACAAACAAATTTATAATAATATAATTATATACTTATTTACATTATTTATTTAATTTAACTTATTTTTCTTGTACAGAATGTACAGCCTACAAGTCCTATTAAGGTGTCAAAAGGTTTTAAAAATAATTATAGTAAAGTTCAATATTCTGAGTGGAATTAAGTTGATAGTGATGCTTTGTTAACAATATAAACATCATTTTATAGTAAAATTATTTATATAGGCTTTATATTTTTTTTTTTAATAATATTAGTTTAATGTTGTACCGATTTTCCCAGTTTTCCCATGTTTTATTCCGGTTTTTCACATTTATTAGAAAAACTCTTGAAAAATTCAAAAAATGACCTCCTTAAAGTACCTCCCTACGCCGATTTTCTTTCAGAAAAATTGCTACATGTAGAAATCCAAGAAAATCTTTATAATAATTGCAAACAGATAAAAAAAAAATTTCTTTTTAAAACCATTAGCTTCTTCGCCCCATTCAGAATCTAAAACCATCGTGAAATTGTACCCTACGATAAATTATCTCTAGTGAAATTTTACCGGGGGTAAATAATCCCGATTACACTGGCGTTACACATGCTGGTGCCCTAGGTAGAACCATGTTTTTGCGTCCTCCCTCCAATTAATCGAGGACGGTTATTATCCTTGAGGCACCCCTCCTTCTTACAGCAAGCGCCTTGGTCGTCCACCCTTAATGCCATCCCTGTATATACGTATATAAATTATACATCTTTTATTTCTTTTTTATTTTAACGCAACTTGGGAAAAATTCCTGGTCAACGTTATCTGTCTATAACACGTGTAAACCGAGTATAAGACTCACAGGACCTCAGGTCTTATAATATTTTCATACATAAATAGTTATACCACTTACCTATCATGAATCAGCGATTTTCTTCTGAGGATTTTAAGTGAATTTTACTTTTACTGTATTTTCAATCATCATAGGATTTTTTGAAGATTTAATTTTTATAATAAAATAATAAATTAAAAACAAAATTATTAACACGTTTAATACTCGTAAATAAATTTAATAAATAAACAAATAAAAATAAAATTAATTAATTACGCCTGGAGTATTATACGACCGGTTTTGAATTAAAAATTCATCATCAGGTATATCACAGTCGACCAATTCGTACATATTTTTTTCTATTTGTTCCTTCATTTAATTTTTTAGTCGCGTTTCGCTTTGACTGTGATGTACCTGATGATGAATTTTTAATTCGAAACCGGTCATATAATACTCCAGGCGATGCATTCATTAGTTTATTTATTTGATTTTTATTTTCATACATACATTTTTTATTCATATATTTATTTTTTAATCCATTTTCGGTGTTTTACTACTACTCCTTACACCTATACATACTCATTTGACTTTCAAATAGAAACCTTCATTTTAATCACCAACCCGAAATGAGCATTTTTTTTCTAAAATAGTTAACACGCACAACACTATAATATCGGATTTACCGTTTATGAGTTACAACAGTTTAAAATTTAGACTGCAGGGAGCAGGTAAAGACAATGAACTCCATAGCCATTTTTAGATGATTAATTGATAATCATTCTATACATAATACATGCGTTGTGCACTCGACTTCATGTGCATTTTACAAAATTATGTATTTCGCAAAACAACTTTAAGGAAAAGGTTTAAGCAATAAATGTATGTATATAATTTTACTCGCATTATTATATTGTGTTACAGTTTTAATTTATACTGTGTTTAGTTTAGTTATTGAACAATCGTGCAGGGTACACCATTACCTATAATATAACTTTGGCAATGTATATTTTTTAATTTACTCTGTACATTTATGTAAATAGCAATTTCATTGAAAAGCTGAATATTATAAATCTCAGTTGTTTTAACGGTTTAGGTAAATAAATGTTTCCTAAAACTTTTATAATATTGATCTTGATGTGCTATTTAAATTATAACGTGCATAATATTATACAAAATGAGTATAGAATAATATTTGGTTTAGCGGAATATATTATGAATAATATGTAAACATAATATGATAGTTTCTAGTATGATATACGGAGTCAAAATAAACGTCTATATTTTTAATTTTAATGAAATACCAATAATTATAGTAAGTTAGATTAGGTTAAGTTACGATAATTTGATCGTGAATATAAAGAATTACACATATTTGTTTTTACTTCTATATCTTTTTCTTGTCCATTATTTAAGTTATTTAAGTTGGCGTCAAATTTATTTTAAAACCAGTTATCGATTAATTTGGGTATTTCCTTATTAGGGTCAATGAAGACCACGCTTTTCTAGCAATTTATGTTTGTTATTTTACACTGCATTAAATGTTGGTCGTCTTGTACGTCTTCACATTCTCATTCTTTAGTTTCTACTATTTTTCACCGCACAAGATTCTTCTTTGTGTGTGCTACTTCAACCCTTGAGTGGTTTAAAGTCTTCCAAAATCCACAGGAACTTAAAATTGATTCATACAAGTTTTCGTATTTCGATTTTTAAATTTTATTTTCGAAAAAATCTACGATTAACTTACATGCATGATACATAACTACCTACCAGAAATATATTGTTATCTATTTTAGACGGACGTTTAAAAAATTTCTCACATATCTAATGATATAGTATTATATAAATTTCGTTTTTCTACATAGAATACAATCTGATAATTATAGGTAGAACCATAATAAATTTCTCTTTAATTTCTACGATTTTTATAAAAATTATTAAAATATTAAAATACTTATGAACAAAAATTCTACATTACACTCAATTTTATTTTTTACCACAAAGTATGACTTATGAACTACTTATTAAATTGTCAAGCATTTCTATTTGGTCTAATAATTTTATCCACAGATTATCTACCAAATAAAAATAACGTAAAAAAGCTTTAAAATGGCTCAAATGTTTTGAAAATTGTATCACGTCTAGAAGAGACAAATATAAAATTTCTGTCCAAACTTAAAGGATCTACATATATGTTTAACTAAATCACAACAAATAAAAAAAATTTCATAAATTTTCCCTTTTTTCTGCATTATTTCCCTATTATTATGAACATCGCTTGAAAAATCAAAAAATTGACCTCTTAAAGTATCACCCAGATATTGAGTATAAACTTCCTTTCAGAAAAAGAAAACTTTTACACTTGAAAATTGCAGTAAGATTTCTTGTAGAAAAGTTGTTCATAAACAAAAAAAAAAAAAAATCGAAATAGTGCGGTTTTCTATCTGCAACTCCACGCAACAACTGAAAGCAGCCACTAGTCACAACTATGAACTAATGAACTCTGCGCACCGACTGGTTTCCTAAATGCAACTATGCTTTGTGGTTAGAGTTATAATCGTTAATTTCATTTCATTCAATTAATTTTATGTAGTGTTCGGACGTGTTTCTTTATGTTTAATTTTCAATTTTAATAATTGTTTTTATGCTAACGAACTTTGAACTTCGAGAAAATTATCATTAATAATAATAAAATAATTACTTTTCTACTGCAGAAAAAAGAAGATAAAATGTATAATCCATTAATATTTAATAAAAGAAAATCAAATGACAATTTGTTTGCTACTCGAGTAGATGAAGGTTTTTTTTGAAGTACTAAATAATTTTGATAATACAGTTTTCGACATAATTATTATTTGTATAATTATCTCTATATATAAAATAGCATGTCCTGACTGACTGATTCATCATCGCCGAGCACAAACCACTGGACGGATCTAACTGAAATTCAGCACACAGATAGATATTGTGACGAAGGCATTCTCTACGAAAGGATTTTTAAAAATTCAACACCTAAGGAGTAAACTAGAGGTTTTTTTAGGTATATTTGATATGAATATCTAATTGCTTATTTATTTTTGTTTATTCAAGGGTTACCTTGGTGTTACGTATTCTTATTGTTATTTATTGAAAGTTTAATATTATGGACTTCGTACCAAAATAAATGAAATGGAAAACATCTCGATACTATTTGTGTGTTTTCTTTTTTTATTTTATACGGGTATTAAGTAACGCAGGTAGGATAATATATTATAAACAGATAAGGACTACAGAATAATTCTCTAGCTTTTTTCTTGTTTATAAACTCAAATGTATTATTATAAAAAAGTTCGGATGTTATATTAAATGGACAATTAAAAATAATAATAATATTCAGGCATTGTTTTTGTTTAAAAAAAAAATATAGGTACTTACAACAGTAATGTCTAGCCCAATAGAAAATTTGGTTAGGTACAAAATTATTACGCATACGATACGTTCTCCCGAAAGGAAAAGTATTTACAATTAGGTATATAAAATTCTTTCTGCAGCAAGCCACACATATTGTTTCTGTAAAACATTTTTTTAAATATGTTCAAAATCGCACACAGAATTTGTTTTAATAGTTGTAACATTTAATTTAACAAGTTATTTTAACAGTTAGAATGTAAATGGTAGTGAAGGGTAAATGCTGGGATTGCTTGGCTGCTAAATACGCAAAAAGCATATTGATATTATTATAATATAAAAAAAAAGAAAAAAGTAACGCTATAAAAAAATTAATAAATCAATTAAACAACATTGATTTTCTGTATACAAAACGTATTAGAAAAATGGTCAATATGAATAATAATAATAATAATAATATAACAATGCCAGTAGAAATTTAATTTTAAACAAATTTTCGACATATTCAACTTGAATATGATTGTAATTTAAATTTTATACTACAGGTATATGTTTTATGAAAATATCTTTATTGTTACATTTATTAAAAATCGAATATACGCGCAATTCTATAAGTGAAGGTCACCAGTTCGGGTTCAGTGGCACATCATAAAGGTTTACCCTTCACTCTGCACGCCCTATATACGGTACTTCCAATAGAACCGTAAAAACATGGGTCAGGCCTACCCCCTGGATACGCAACGATGGTATTTTAGCATATAAAAAGGTTTTTAATTTTGTATAACAAAAAGAAAAAAAAAACAATGGGTTTCATCTAACTCGACTATCGATCGATATTCAAAAGTATAGGTTTAATATGAAAAAAATATCGGTGATAATTCGATTTTGTTAATTTATAGAACTCGATATTCCAACAGATTTGTAAAAATATGAGTAAGTAACAAAATTATAATTATAATATTACTATTGAAGAAATAATATATAAAAAAATGAACATAGGTACAAAATAAAATTACATTATAGGTGTCCCACGTTGATCTGATACTTGAAATAACTATTGTTCGATAGGTATGTTCAGGTCCTAAAGTGTTATCCTTATACTAATAATTCTGTAAATATTATTTTATTTTTTTTTGGTTTTGAGTGTAGTGAAGAATGTATTGGTTTTACTAAGATGTTTATTTTTTTATTTTTTTTTTAAACTATGTACAAAAATTCTACCAGAAGTCTTACTCAGATATATACGTGCGGTACCAGTTTTGAAAGGCAATGTTGTCCAGATGGTTAAAACGTAAGAAACACGGGAAATTTACGAAAATAATGCTTTCATTATTTTTTAATTTTGTTGTTTGTTGTAATTCAATTAAAAATATTCGTAAGGACTTGAAATGTAGACAGAAAACTTATATTTTCCTTTTCTAGATATGGTCAAATTTTCGAATCATTTTTGCCATTTTTTTTTAGCTATTTATAAACATTTTAATTTTGCGAGTTTTGTATGTAATTTTTATTCGGTAGGTAAAATATTACGATTTTTTTTTCTGCAGACAACTTTTCTACCAGCAATCTTGCTCCGACTTTTAATGATAGACATTTTCCTGGAAGAAAATCTCACTGGGGAGGTACTTTAATGATGTCACTTTTCGTTTTTCTCAAGAGATCTCCCAGCAAATGTGAAAAACCGGGAAAAATGGGAAAATCGTTATAATATTAAACAAATATTATTAAAGAAAATATTTAATACCTGTTCAATTATTTTACCATTATATAACATATATATATTGTTGATTAAGCATCACTATCAACTGAACTGAGCGAAGAATCAATCTTTTGTTGGCAATGGTTTATTGTTGCTGACAGATGTACATTTAATTACCTATACCAGTGGCTGCACCCTATCCCAAATTTATAGGAAGTCTTTTTTCAATCAAGATTTGTTCAAAGGGACACATATGTAGAGAAAAATTAATTTTTTATTTTCATCCTTAGTTGTGGGAAAAAAATAGCTTTTTATTTTATTACTTTTCAAAATTTTCAAAACAGCCATTTCGTAAAAGATATTATTCTAAAAATTTGAATGTAACATAAACATATCTGATGAACATATCAATAGCTATAATTTCTAGAAAATTGGCATAAAAAAAAATTAATTTTCAATACGTTACAAAATAAGGAATCACAATTTACACGATAATTCCTTATTTTCTATTGAATATTAATTCTTTTCATGCTTATTTTCTATACATTAAAGCCACTAACTAAAAAATGATTAGTCAGATATGAATAATGTATGATACATTAAACTTTTTAGAACATTATATTTTACAGAATTAGTTATTTTGAAAATGTCAGTCATTTTTTTCAGTAATTAAAGGATGACAATAAAAATTTAATTTTTCTCTACATATTATGTGTCTTCTTGTACAAAACACGATTAAAAAAAAAATGTAAAATAAATGAATATTGACACGAGTTAATAAGCATGAGGATAACACTGTAGGATACTCTGTTTACTATTATATACAGGCAAGAACAAGTTTTTAAATAATTTAATTTAATTTAAAAAAAAAAGACCTATATAGAAAATAACAGGGAAAGCATGGTCAGCGTCTCAGCTATAGCCATAATCCAAAAGACAGCCAAAATAAATGATATAAGACAGCTATTACATTAGTACCAGTCAGTTCCAAGTAAACTAGATTTTATAACGGAACTTATAACATCTCTAAAATACGAATGGCACAAATATGGATATTTTCAGATCGAATAAGCACTTCCACCCAGATATGACAATGAATGAAGTACCTAGAAAACATCTGGAAAATAGACTGCTTGATTTATAAAATGTCCTGTAAAGTGTTCGTTAGCGCTTACCTTGAGTTAATTGCCAACTTGCGGAAAATTTAACCGTCGGTTAGCACTAACCCAGCGTTATGAGAACGGGCGCAAGAGTAGGAGTTGTTCAAAAAAGATAGAACTTACATGAGTGGGAGCACATCACAGAATCCATTAATTGTGACTAGTGAGTAGTGAGCAAATAGCACATATTAATATACCCTCTTAACCCAATGACATGTACACATGAAAACCTTTATGAAAAGAATTTAGCTGACGTGACTATAAGTGTAACTGTAAGATAATATGAAGTGAAAAAGAATACGAAAACAAAGGAAGTACCTTTACAGTCTGGATACAATCAAAAGACTTAAAAAATTATACACATATATATTTATAGCTAAGTATACTTAGTATATTTAGCTTAGATATAAGAATGTAGATAACAATTACCTAATGTATTTTTACAATAAAACTACTCGATGCTTACTATATATAATATTATTTTGGGATCTTTTTTTGTCGATTGGGGAATTGTGTAAAAATAAAGTTATTGAAAACTCATCGTGTATTTTAAGACGTTAAAGATTTTATTGTTTTTTTTATTTTATGTTTCATTATTTAGGTACCTCTCAAAAATTATTTTAATTTTATAACAAGTTTAATAAAACTCATCCGAATTGTATTCACTGCTGTAATACGATCTTAACTGGTCATTATTATGAAGATACTCGAATGTATGTGGTATAGGTACAATTTCAAATTAGGTCTGTAGGTACAGGTTATATAACTGGGCAGGTAAACATAGGTAGTAAATAAAATAATTAACCGATGTATTGAAAGATGATTTTTCAATTATTTTACTTAAATACGTTTCAAGGAAAATCTAGTCACACTACTGCAGGAAAAAGAACAACTATGAATATTTGGTTACAGCACAAGAGATAATAACCCATGATAATAATAATACATGAGAAAAAACAATATTATTTTTTAGTTTTTACTTCAGCTACACTATTGTATAATATTATTATGTTTTCAATTGTCAAAATTATATCAGTTAAAGATATTATAAGGACCTATATATAGGTGCCCAATGTATCCAATAGTATTTTTTTTAAATTTAATTCAATCCTTTAAATCAATAAAACATTACCAACATTATGTCTCTGATGACGTACGTATTGCAAATAATCACGGTTAAAATCAATATTATAGGTTACCTACCTACTTGAAATTCAATAAATAATAACAATAGATAATAATAATACTTTCACATAATGCCAAATTTGAGCCAATGAATAAAATATTATTCGCCATTCACTTAGGTATATGCGTCATCAAATATTAGCAATACCACGTGTTTAGTGCAGCTGTGGCTATCTCGTCTATAATTATTTTAAATTCTGAAGCGAGGAATTTACTTACTTATTATTTTTATTATGAAGCGTGATTTATTTCTGTCTGTAATCAATTTTTCAAACTTTCGATTCAACTCCAGAGGTGGTTTTTGGTAGACAAATTTCTCTAGGACACATTGGGAAGGTTATTTTGTGATTTTTCTTACATATTTTGTTTATTTTATAATAACGATTGAACATCGGAGGAAAAAAAAAATAATGGTTTCTGTTATTTTCGATTTTCTTGTAATTCTGTGAAAAATAACCATAAATATCCATGGAAATTATTCACCGGTTACTTATAAGTACATATTAGAACTTTCTAGACATAACGAAATTTGCCTGCGTGATTTGAATTATTTATAGTTAATTGAAAATGGTTTGCTTTTTTTTTGGGGGGGGAGCAATATCTGAAATGTTTTTTTCAATGAAAAATTTGAATTATTAGTTATCCATTCATTATTATTAGAGCAGATAGTATAATATGCATTTGCATGTTTTTATTGTTTTGTCAAAAAAAATATCTAGTTTATACCAAATCGTGTTTCACGTTTTAACGATTATATATAAAATTTTCTTTTACGTGTTTTAACGTTTGAAATCTATAGAAAATGTTTGTATCATACTTTATAGATTTAATACACTTTTAGAGCACATTAAAGGACTTTAAAATATTTCAACTCAATAAATTTAGAATCATAAAATAATAAAATTCTTGTGAAATTAATGTAAAATTTGAAATTTTGGGATTTTAGATTCTGAATGGAGCGAAAAAGCTTATGGTTTTACAAAGATGTTTGTTTTGTTATTTTTTTTTTCCTGTGGACAATTTTTCTACCAGAAATTTTGCTCTAACTTATAATTATAGCAATTTTTCTGAAAGGAAATTTCATCGGAGAGGTACTTTAAAGAGGTAATTTTTCGATTTTCTCAGCACATATAAAGAACTGGGAAAAAATATGGAAAAACCAGGAAAATTGGAAGAATCGGTACAACATTAAAATGAAGAGAATATATAGAGCTTATTTAATTATTTTACTATTATATTGCATATATATTGTTAACAAAGTATCACTATAAATTGAACTGCGTTCAGAATCGTTGTTTTGTTAGCAATGGTTTATTGTTGCTTACAGATGTACATTAAATTCCCGTCTGTACCTACCTTCCAAACTTTCCACCTACACCAGTGGCTGAATCCATCCCCATTTTTTTACCTTTTTTTAAGACATTATTTTATGATTTTTTTTACATTTTTAGAGTATATTTTAATACATTTTCAGCAAGATTTGTAACATATTTTTTTTTTTTAAACATACTTTAAGGAGGAATATTCGTGCATTTTTTTTATCAAGTTGTTAATTCGAATATACCTATAGCTAGGTTTAAAATGAAACTAAAAATATTGGTGAATATTTTCATCAGTAAAAATAGCGTTTAAAATTTAAAATTTAAATATTTATTTTTAAGTTAAAAGGGTTAAAATTTACCTCTTAGTCGAAAATTGGTTTTCTTGAATATTTTTTTATCATTTAAAATATAAGAAAAAAAACTCAATGGCAGTAAACAGGTATTTCTATTCTGAATCAGTATCGTTATTCAGATCAAAAATATTTTAATTATTGAGTGATATGGGAAGGAATTAAGATTTGGTGTTTTCAATCTTGTTGGTTCCTCCTCTCACGCGGCTTCTAGATAACGGGTCTTGTAGGATTGAACGTGTTCAAAACTTGAATGTTTTATGCGCTTGGTTAATCGTTTTATTATTTTTATGATACGCGCCATTCAATCACTGCGGATTACGATCATCGTGCATAATAATTTTATTATTAATTAATTATATTTTAATAACTATTTGTATTATTATCGGAATATCATTTTCGAAAACTAAAGCTCCTACAGTAGTACAAACTACAATCCTACAGAAGTAACAAAATCAAACATCATTTTAATGCTAATAATTTTTAATAAACTTTAATTATAATAATAATAATTTATTAATAATAATTAACAATAATTTATTTAAAACAATTAAAATTAAATATATTATAAGATTAAAATATACTCTTAAAATTTCTCTCAAAAAACTCCCACGCAGGCACTGAAACACTACAAACGCCTTCCAAAACTGTTGGAAACTCGAACATTCCAGGCGCCACGCATTCACGCACTCGAAATTGGTAAATACACTTTAGACGAACGTTTTTGAACGAAGAATGAATGGAAAGAAGGAAAGCGCGCGGGAAAAAATTTTTACAACAATTTTACTACTAATATTTGCGCGCCGGAGGATTGCGCGCCGCCAAGTCGTCGCTCAAGTCTGTACGTTCCCGGAGTGAAGGAAAGGTTCCGCGTGTAAAGGCTGCTTAATACCTGACGCACGCACGCAAATCCTCGTACAGTATAACTGCTACCGTCGGCTACCGAGTGCTTTGCGTATTTCCCCGTTGTTTTCGAATTCCTAATCAAAATTCGACGGTACAAATGATAAAGCCACGCAACACCTTACTACAGGTGTATTTTTATTACGACATAGTATATCGGTGTACTAATGTAGCGTAATATTTATAATGCAATATTATGATAATTATACTAACCGATAAAATAATCATAAAATTGTTTTTGTTTTATGTCGAACCGGGCCTGGTTATCAATATTTATTATTGTAAATCAGAACGCCCTAAAAATCTAGATCATAGCGTACAGACAAATAAAAAAAAAAGTACCAATAAGATATAGTAGGCTTATTCAAAATACAATTTATAAGTTATAAACTAATTCGTTTTAGTGTAAGTTAATGTACGTTTTAAAATATGTACATAGCTATTATTTTTTTTGTATTAGAAATTATCCTTTCGTTATTTTGGCCGGGTCTCGTATTCGCAAACCCCTCGGAACTCGAGGGTCTAAAATTTCAGGCACCATACAGTCCATATAGAAGGATATTAATTTTGAAAGCATCTTATTTGTCCAAAGATATTCGCCCCTGTTGATCTGCTGAATATATAGGTTATTTCCCATACTGAATGGAAGAAAAATACATAAAGATTTCTTTGTTATGTTTAGCTGGCCTTGAATTTACCAATAATATTTATGGTTTTTTTTTTTAGTTGAAGTTAACTTGTTTCTGTAAACTCTAAATAAAATTGCAACTTCTTATCCAGAATTGCATCTTCTAAACTTGTTTGGCTTATAGATGGAGTACACTTGACTTTAACTATTTTGTCATCATCAACTGAATCATCGGAATATTATGGTATTTTTAGTGTTTATCTCCATATACTATGTATGGTATTTTTAAAGGTTTTTAGGGCATATTAATATTTGCGCCAATTATTATTAACAAAAAGATAGGTTACCTATACGGTTAGGTACCTATACGGCTTAATCGGACACAGAGTCAGGATTTTTTTAAAGGGCGGTGTTGTATTTCATTTTTAACAATATTTATTAAAAGGGCTTCACACATCCTTCATGGAGTTATAAAATCACATTAATAAATTGTAATATGATCACGGAATAATTTACCTACACATTTTGTAAGAAACCGAAGCATTAATATAGTATTAGCATAATATAATATGTATAAAACCAAATATATATTAAACCAAGACCGATAAGGATGATGTTTTAACACCCAAAAAACCCTCTTCCTTTTGACTATTCGCCTGGGTTACACTACCTATCGATAAATAAAATAATAATATGTCTGGAAATTGAAATTAATATGGACATTGAACAGTAATCGGTGATTTAATAATATTATTATAGGCCTACTGCAGAGCGTATAATGTTATACTACGGTACAAAAGGTCTTGTTACTGTCAGTTTAATATGGAGTTATTATTTATTTTAATAACAATATTATAGAATAAATAAATATATACCTACGTTAAAAAAAGTCACTAAATCAATACATCTATATTTTAATAGGTATGGGTGGGCACATTAAACGTCGGTTGAGTCAATACAATATAAAGTTCATTGTGTTAGGTTAACATTGTATACCTAATACCCATTATACCATACCGATTGTTGTTTGATATAAAAGTGTATTGATTCTATATACGAACAAATTATTATTAATTTATCTAAACAATAACTCTTTTATGTTGTTATTGCTCGCGATAAATACAAGATAAAAAACAAACGATTACCATTAAACGAAAATACCTATACTTACTAAACCTTTTTCATGACAAACCTGCTCACCCGCCGTCGGAAATTAATTAAATAATTAATTTTTATTCGTCAAAAATTATGCAACACTATTATTTTCACGATTTATTTATATACCTATACCTTCACATAAATTGTTTTCTTTTTTAAATTCAAATACTCGCTTTGTTTTCGACTTCTATGTTTAATTAATATTATAATAATAATATATATATATTTATAATATTGAACAGTCATCAAACTGTCGAATCGTTTGCGTTTTAATCATCAATCAATTATTTCACACCATTCTCTACAATGATAAAGTATACAAATATAATTCACGAAAATTATTAAAAACAATGTTTCAATATTTGTTATAATAAATTAGTTTACTTCATAAACTATCGTGTGGTAAAATTTTAGAGTAAAGTGAGTTATTAATTACCTCACGGTAACAATTAATTAGAATTATTGACCCTTCTAATATTTTATTGAGAGGTAATATTTCTTTAGTGAAATTTTACTCACCTCCCCTAGCAAATATTGTGTCATCCAACAATCACTGGAACATTGGTACTAAATATTATTATTTTATGTTTCCTTATTTATACTATATACTATAATTATCCTATATACCTATCAGTAGGATACGGATTTTAAGGAAATATAAACAACAAAAAAAAAAAAAACGTCCTAAGATAATGGGGACGGGTGCAGTCACTATTATAGATAATTTAATGTATACCTGTAAGCAACGATAAACCATAGATTACGAAAAAATGATTCTGATCAGAGTTCAGTTGATAGTGATGCTTTGTCAACAATATGTAATTTTATAATAAAATAATTAAATAGGCTTTATATATTTTATTTTATAATATTTGTTTGATGTTGTACCGATTTTCCCAGTTTTCCTACGTTTTTCCCAATTTTCCTATTTTTTTATCCCGGTTTTTATATATGCTGGGATTTGCTGCAATCAAAAAATGATCTCTCTAAAGTACTTCCCCAGTGGAAATTTCCTTTTAGAAACATTAATATCATTATAAGTTGGAGAAAAATCTTTCAGAATAGGTGCTGCATTTAAAAAATCTGAGCAAGTCGTATAGTAAAAAGTTGCCCACAGATAAAAAAATAAAAATAAAATAAAATAAACATCTTTGTAAAACCATAAGCTTTTTCGTTCCACTTAGAAACTAAAAGCACTGAACATATGAAAGAAGCAAAAAAAAATATTTAATTTATATAAAAAGCACTTCAAAAATGAACTAAAAATGTAATAGGTTTATGTTAAATTTGTCTAGTTGGTGTAATAAAAAAAAAATGCTTCCGATAAAAAATATCTCCAGTTAAGAATATCTCCAGTAAGATATATCTCCAATAAAAGAATATCTCCGGCAAAATATTTTCAGTTGAGAATACCTCCAGAAAAAAATATCTTGAGTAAAAAATAACTCTAATTGAAATATTCCTTAGATATTTTATCTGTATTCGGTAATTGACTAATTATAGGCTTGACTTATTAAATTTCTGGGAGATAATACAGTTGTTCTCGCCTTTTCTTTTATATTTGTAATAACTTCTTTAATTTTGACTTTAAAAATACCTGGTGTGTATGAATAGTGTATTATTTCCCTTAAAATTAAATAAATAATATTAATAAAAAAAGTTTCGATAGGCCACTTTTCTAGGTGAGGATATGGAGGGAACCTTTATATGTATATTAACTAAATTACGTTAAAACAAATTAAATTGAAAATTACAAAAGCTTTTTTTTCATAAATTTTCCCGTTTTCCCTAAATTTTTTCTCAATTATTGTGAAAACTTGTTGGATCTATTATAATCTATATTATTATAAATAATTATCTAATAATTTGAAATAATATATTCGTAATAATTACTTATTTTTTGTTAATTGGTTGTATTACAATATGTACATTTGTATTTTTCGTACTCAGTACAACGGCCAAATGCATTTGTCTACGCCTTTTTTGTACCAGTTATAAAGTAATACATTTTTGCCTTTTTTTTTTTTTGACTTAAAATA